GAGCCGCGAGGCCGGCAGGGCCCTGCGGCGGGCAGCGGCGCGGCCGCCATGGCGGCGGCCTGAAGGGCGGCCGCTCCGCAGCGGCCCCGCGGCGCGGCCTGGCTAGATGGTTCGGTTAACTCCCCATAGGAGTTAACGTAGGAAGCGCCCTCCTCCCTCGGGCTAAAATCCCCCTTCCCGGCGGCACAGCCAGCGAGGGCTCCTTCCGAGCGTGCATCTTGCATGAAGCCTCTGACGACCCCCGTGGGATAATATTATCCCAGTGTGTGAGGCGCGGGCCCTGCGTTGTGTCTCTCGGTGACTCCGCTTTGTCGCGCTTCTCTTTCCAGCAGCTATGGTGAATTTGGTGCAAGCCGTGCGCACCCACTGGGTTCACATCCTCGTGCCCCTGGGATTTGTGGTTGGGTGTTACTTGGACAGAGTGAATGATGAAAAGCTGTCAGCCTACAGGAACAAGAGCTTGCTCTACAGAAGGTTTGATTATGATACCAGTTTGCTATGTATCTATGTTTGTTATTTTGCAAAGTAGGTTTTGAAAGTGCTTCTCTGTACCCTTGGACAGCCTTAGGTATATATACATATATATAAAACTAATCCTGTCAAAGTATTAAGGAGAGTATTAAGGGGAAGAAATCCATAAAAGTATTAGTGAATCCTTGTTAAAGGTTTTGGGATGTAAATGCTTACAGAAAACCTGGGCTGTAGGCCCCATCTTAATGCTGTTAGTCATGAAAAAGTCTACATAGTTCTGTGTGTTTGACCAGGTAGGTGAAATAGTTACTTTAAAATAACTATTTTTAGAGAAGTGTTGTTCCTGAAAGCAAGATAAACAAATAGAAGGATTAGTAGCCGTTAAGACACTTCATATCTAAATAGACTTACTAAAAGAATTTGTTACATGAACTCAAAAATGTAAGGTAAATGGAAGCTTAATATACAGATAAATAAGAAGCATTTCTAGGAAAAAATCTTCGAAAACAGATAAAACTTTTACTGTCATTATACTTCACCTTTTGCGCTGTGATTACCGTAGAATTACATGGGATTACCATGGGCAACTTAGTTGTCACTGTACAGCAGTTGTCCCTGTTTAGCACAGTTCCTTTTAAAATAGAAGTAACACCGTTTGCAATACTACTAATAAAAGGAATCCTGAAAGATAGAAGATACCCCTTCAAACATAAGTGTAAACTGTGTTTCTAAGCAGACTGTATAAGATAGGATTTTTTTATACCTTAGACTTGGAAAAAGCACATGAAAAGGGGAGAATCTCCAAGCCATTCTTCTTGCCTTTCCTTTACCTAAGTCCTTCTGAAATAGAAGACCAGAGCTCTGACAATGTTTACGTAACAGAATAGTGTTAAGTGTGATAAACGGGGTCAGAGCTGTAAACGTATTATAATTTAGTAGTAACTTTCTAAGTTGGGAAAGTAGTCTATAGGAATGAAATTACTTATTTTCCTTGTCCTTGATGCTTCTGCATGTGGGGAAATGCAACCTTTGGTGTTTTATTATTTGTGTATTGAAAATCAAAGTGACCTTATTTAGCTTCCGTTTTCCATTTTAATGAATGAATTGATTTGAAGTCAAAGAGAAAAAAGAATGTATTTTCACTTTGGCAGAAAAGGCTTTAGCTTTCCAAAGGTTGTTGATTATGTTAATTACTGTCAAATGCTTAATCATGAAGTGTGCAAATGTTATTTTGTTTCTAACACTTCAGCAGAAGTACATAGTGTTTGTTTGTATTTGCTTTGATTTTAACTTTCGCAAAGTACTATACCAAAATTATGGCTTAAGTTTAAAACGGTGCCAACACATATTAGCATATAAATACTTTAATAAATTTGTATCATTTAAATAAATATCTTTTAAAAATTAACCCAGCATCTGTATTTAAAATGTTTAATGTTAGCAGCTGCTGTGTCTTTAGCCCATGTTGTGAGCTTGCTGACTCACTTGTTAGGGAGAATTGAGATAAGTTAATATTTGCTTCATCTAGATCTGATCTCTCCAATCTGTGTAAGGTTGTAGAGTTAACTAAAATACATAAAAAAACATTCTGCATAGCTAGTAATTCTATGTCACAGATTGTAAGAAAAGTAGGAATGTTGGCATATATGGTATGCAAGTGATTTTTTTACTTGGGCATCACCTGTGGTAATTCTGAGTAAGAAAGGAAGGTACCAGCACTGTTCGTGCCACTGTTAGGTTAGCACTTTCCTCACTGCAATTACTGGATAAGGTGCATGGGCATTTCAGTAGGTTGCAAGAACTTATGGCTTTTCACCTTATTTTCCTCCTATTAGATTCATATTTTTTTTTTCTCTTCAAAATAAGTAGGTATTCTGTTATGCAGAAAAATCATTAACTTATTAGCCATTACCTGTTCCATGCCCCCACTTAAACTAATTGAACTCAATTTTTGGAAGCTTTGGAAAGAAAAAGATAAAACCTAATTCATAGTGGAAAAAAAAACTGACAACACTTTGAAGGAGAGTAAAATTTATTCATGCTGCTCAATATAAATCTCAAACTCTGTTTCTGTAGCCCTTAATATTTATATCAAGGTCTTCTGTTACGATTAAAACTTATATTTATTATTAAGTATTCTACAGAAATTATCCTAATTTAATTCTCCTTTCTACACAGAGAACTGAAACCTGGTGAAGAAACTACGTGGAAATAGAAGCTGATGATGAAATGGGAAGAAGCTTGATTCACTTGATTAATCAACTTACATAATAACTGCAAAGACCGGGTTACAATTTTTATTCTTGAGAAAACATATAAGCTACAGAAGGGAATACCTGGGATTCATCTCTGTAGTTTAATTTTCAGTCCTCCAATTTGAAAGATAGTTATGTGACTAGTAAATGTCCTCTTCAGAAACCTTAGACCCTAGAGGTCATACTCTGAAAGGAGGAAAACATAAATAAAGAAAAACTATGAAAAAAAAAGTTGTTATTAGTCTATATGGTGTTAAAGAATTTATATCTCAAAGTGAGACAGTGTATAAAGAGTGCATGTGTTTAATGTATATCCAAAATGCAGTGGGAAATGTCTAGCATGTTTCTAATTGCATCTGAACCGCTTTCTCTTTAGATTTCCGTTTAGATGTGTTGCTTTGGGATGTCAGCAGTGGCGGCACAGTAGCATTGTGGTAGTGCACGAGAGCGGGAAAGAGGCGAGGATTGGCAGGCGGTAAGAGCAGCAGTGGCACCGGTTCCCGTGGGCAGTTCCTGACTGTCCTTATCCAGGGAATTGGAGCTGCCGGGGGAGCGGCAGCGCCGCCCTCCCGGCCGCCAGGGGGCGCCGTCGTGGCGGGGACGCGCGAGTGCAGGGGAACTGCGCGCCGATTGGCCGCGGGGCGCGGGCGTTGATTGGCCGCGGCGGGTCACGTGCGGCGGAGGGCGCTGGCCGTTCACAATAAACATGGAGTCCATCTTCCACGAGCGGGTGAGTGAGCGGCTGTCTTGGCCTTGTCGGTCTCGCAGCCTCTGCGCTGTTGGGCGCCCCTCTCGGCGGGGCTGCGAGTCTGACGCTGGCCCCGGGGCGCTGGAGATGCTGCCCCGGCGGTCGGGGAGCCTGGGGGCGCGGCGCTTCCTCTCGCGCAGTGACTTCCCTTGTCGCGCCGCTGGAGAGGGGCCTCGGCTCGGGGCAGCGCCGAAAGGCCGAAGCTCTTTCCCTCTGTGAGGGTCTTCTGGCCGAGACGCGGGTGCGAGGGGCAGTGCAGCCGGCCCCTCCCTGGCCCTTCCTCTAGGGATCTCCCAGCACTTCCTTTAGCTGGGTTGGGCTGTGCATTACACAGGGAAAGGCTGGGCTATTCAGGAAACCCTAATGCGTGTACAGTGTGCCAGGCACCTCTTCCCCTCTGGAGAAAAGCTGCTTCTGTTAACTCTCAGGGCTTGTCTAAATTCCCAAGTCACAGCTAGAGGTGCCTCACTGCAGTTGTGGTGCTGCTGTTTGCTTCCTGGGTTTTGCCGCTGTCTCAGCATCTCTATTATGTTTAAATAAACTTTATACAGGAAGTTTCAGTGTCCTGAAATTCATATAGCTTTTTCTTAGCCTGGCTTGGGATCCTCAGAGCAGCAGCTGTTGAATACAAGTGCTCACAGAGCTCTGCTTCCCCAGCCATTCTGGGCAGCTGCGGCACTGACCTTGCCTTGTTTAGCTTTGAAATAACAAGTTCTAAACAAGTGTACTCTTCTGTCATGTAGTCTAACCTGTTACGTGAGGAAATAGTAACTTGAAGAATTTTTGAACAAATTGCTTTATTGTTTTAGAATATTAAAACTCCCCTAGGTTTAAAAATGTTAGCATATAACAGCTGAAGCTGCAAACTAACTGCATTCATAGTTGCCCCAGATTCTTATTGTGGGGTGGGATTTTTTTGGTTAGTTTTAGTGTTTTGGGGGCTTCTTGAATATGATGTAATTATGCTTTAGTAAAGTTATTGGGCACTTGTTAAGGTGCCTGACTGTTTTAAAAATACTTGGTACTCAAGTTAATTGTTATTCTAGGAAAAAAAAAATTGACTCAACTGCTATATCCTTTTTTGTTTTTGTTTCTTCCCCTCCTTAGGAGGAATTATGGAAAGATACTGCATGTTTTCTCTGCAAACAAGGAAAACTTTTCTTACAAAAAAAATCATTTTTCTGCTCTTACCCATAGTACGGGCAAGTCATGCATATGAAGATAATAATGATTTAAGATAAAACTTTTTCTGTACAGAAATGTCACTTCAGTGAAACTGATATTTAAAAATGCCATACAACTCATTTTCAAAGACCTTAGTCTATCTTTGTTTCATGCAGTTTTGGTGGATAAACCTGGGATTCTTGAGCCAATTCCTGTGCTTGGGTAGTCTCATATGACTAACAGAAGGGTCCACATGGTCCTCAAGGGCCGGGGGATGGTGGAGAGTCCAGAGTATCTTGCTGGGGAGAAAAGGGGCTAAGCAACCTGTGGAGATGGATGTTTCTGAAGTCCATTTGGGTCCCAACTGTACAGCTGGTCTAGCCATAACTCATTGCCAAGTTGGCTGATGAAGCCCCAGGAAAACTTGCAATCTGGAGTAAAGGAATTTTTTTGAGATTTCTACCTTATGGGAAGAGCCATGGCAGATTTGTGCATGTGGTTTTATGAGGTTGTCATTAGAAGTTTGAAGAATGTTCTTGGGGTTTAAGTGTTTCACTTTTGTCTGGATGGAGTTTTGGTTTTGCTTTTATTCTGCAAAGTGCATGTACTTTCGAGTTCTTAAAAATTAGGAACACTAAAAGGGCAAAGATGAAACATGGGTTTCAAAACTGATACTTACCTTATCTTGCATTTTTGGTTTTGTTATTTCTTTAGCTGATGAAAGGTTTTTTAAGAAAGACCGTAATTTATCTGCACTAAAACATCTGAAATGTTTTGCATATAAATAGTTGATGAATACAAAATATTTTCATTGTTAAATGATTTTTTTTCCCTCATCATCTCCCCTTCTAAGATTTGAATATCAGTAGGTTTTAGCTTTTACGTAGTTCCGATTTATAAACTTGATTTGGAAAACAAGCTTTACTGTTCTTCCAGCTTCTAATGTCTTTTTCAGCAGTAAATGAACTGGTTATAACCAGAACAGGGTGAGTAACCTGAAATGAAAGCAAGTTCTGTGGATGTATGCTTTTAAATCTCTTCAAAATCTTAATAGCCTGCATTTCTTTAGTCACATGTGGAGAGCAGATTGCTGGTAGTCATACCCGGCATGGAAGAAAAGTTTCATGGGACAGGAATATGTTTTATAGAGAACTTGTGTCACTGGCAGCTAGAGATTGAAAAGGTTTCCTTTTTAAAATTGTGGTGGGTTTGAAGATGACAGAATCTGATGTCCTGCTGGTCCCAAAGTCCTCGTGTGACTTAACTATAGGCAATCTTTACATTGCTTTCTAAAATAGCATTTTTACTTTAAATCGATTTCTCTTCTGTACTATGTGGAGAGGGTCTATTAAATTGATGTTTTTTATGTATGTGTCTGTTTTAAAGCTTTCAGATTAATTATGAAAATATTGCAATTGCAAGAAACAGAGTAGTTTGCCTGAATAAAACGGTTAAAGCAAATTTTCCAGAGCACTAAAATAGCATTTGTGTATTTTTGTTTTGTTTTCCAATGTTAGCAAGAAGGCTCCTTGTGTGCTCAGCATTGCCTGAATAATTTGCTGCAAGGAGAGTATTTTAGTCCCGTTGAGTTATCCTCAATTGCACAGCAACTGGATGAGGAGGAAAGGATGAGAATGGCAGAGGGAGGAATGTCCAGTGAAGAATATAGAACGTTCTTACAGGTAAAATATTTTAAGTTTCACATTGGCTATTATTTGTTGCCCTGAAATACAGTACTGTGGAGCATATATTTGATATTTTTGCACAGTTATAGAAGATTTATTTCCCAGGACTCAATTTTCTAAAATTTGTGTCCCATTAGTTGTTGTTTTTGTTGTTTTTTTCTTTCTGTCATCTCAGATTTGGCATTTTCAAAGTTTGCTATGAAGTATTACAGTAATTCTATAAAAGATGCATTATCTCCGTCTTACAGGTAGGGAGGTCAGGCATGGCGAGAAGGATGAGAGATTTGCCTTTTGTCAGAGTAAGCCAGTGGCAGAGATGGGAACAGAAGTTCTGGTGCCTGTCTCTCCTCTAAGCACTGAGCATTTCTAATTTGAAGGTTTGCGCTTTTTATTAATAAGCATATTTGGGCATTGTAATCAGCCTTAAAGAATAGGATGTATTTAGTCGTTGCTTTAAGTGTGTGCAGTTTTCTGTATTCTTAAAGTTGATTTTTGCTGACCTTTTGTGCTTATATCTTTTTTTTTTCCTTTCTTCTCTCTCCTAATATCAAATTGAGCAGCAGCCGTCTGTAAATATGGATGATAGTGGATACTTCTCGATTCAAGTAAGCATGTCTGTATATTGTAACATTTTTTTCATAGAATATATGTTCTTTTTAGCATAGTGTAAATGCTGTCAGTCTTCTCACCTGGTGGGGTAGGGAAGTAATGAATTTCTAATCTTCACAGTGTTTACCATTAGTGTTTACCATTGCTTAGCAATTCTTTATGGACCCTTGAACACTTGAAGAAATAGGGCCCCCTAAATTGTGAAATTACCTCTGCTAGCAATAAACCTGCTTTTTTTTGGTTGCTTCCTGTAATTACTTCAGGGGCAAACCTTGACTTCCATAAGCAGCAGGTGAAAAAACACAGCTGAGTTTTTCCCAAATTTTAGACTATAGAGCTGTTGGCAGCGGTTACAGTTAGCACTGTGATCTGCATAAAGGGAAAAAATGGAATAACATGATTCTGAAGTTTCCTTTTTCATAGTGGTATTTTGAAATCAGTTTTATGAAAACCAGTATTTTTTATAACTAAATTGATTATGTTATTTAAGCTGTTTTAACTCAAAAAAAATGCTCATTTTTGACAGGTTATAAGCAATGCCTTGAAAGTTTGGGGTTTAGAACTAATCCTTTTCAACAGCCCAGAGTATCAGAGACTTGGGATCGACCCTATGTAAGAATTCTTTTTTCCTTTTTTTTTAATGCGTGTTCTTTTTTTGTTTTACAGAAAAAAAATGCTGAAAATAAATCTGTTGTAACTCTGTTTCTTTAAAATGACGATTTCAAGCCCAGTTACGTACTGATGGCTAGTTTTTATCCCTTCTGCCATCATATTTTTTTTTTTTTTTTTTAAATTTTTGGGGGGTGTACTCAAGCATCTGTCCTCTGTGTCTTCATGACATCTGGATAACTGGTATCACAGGCTTATTGAGGTTTCAGTTATGTCAGCGTTACAGGGAAAGACAACTACCTGCTTATTTTAAGTTACCAGAGCAGTGTAAATACTCTGTACGTCAACAGTTGTCTTTTAGTATTTAAGTTTAAATTAGTGATAGCGAAGAATTTAGAGTTTATTATGCACTCCAATATTAGAGTATTTAATTTTATCTGTACCTTTTGTTTTTCTTTTTACAGAAATGAAAAATCATTTATTTGTAATTATAAGGAACACTGGTTTACAGTTCGAAAGTTAGGAAAACAGGTGACATTGCCTTTTTTTTATTTAAAAATTGACTTCAGAGTGGGGGTGGAAAAATGGTTGCAGTGAGACCATTTGTTGGCCTTTTGCAGGCTTTAAAATTTGCATTAATCATATCTCTTAAAAAATATGTTATTGCCAAGTTGCTAGGCAGACTTTTGTGACTGTTAGTGTGGGGAAAGATCCTGTGATCAGTTCTTTATCTAGGATGTCTTTGTCAATTTTATATAAGAATTTGCAACTCAGAGTCTGTATGATGTTCAAGTCTTCCTTTCTTTCCCATGTGAAAAACAGAGGAGAAAGTATATATATGATTAGAAGAAAATACTAGACATGATTTAGGATCCCTGTGGCACATAGGCTTATTTTAATGCACTCACTTTTTTTCCCCTATGAAAATAACTTACTATAACGTCTTACTCGTTCAAATGGCTGGTAGGCATAAGGAAAAGTTCATTAGTATATTAGAAATTTTAGTAAAGGTGATTGCCAGTATTTTAGAGTATTTATAGGGATATGACTGAAGGAAAGTAGAAGCACAACTCTTCTACTTAACTTGCTGAAGCAATTGCATTAGAAATAGGAGATGGTTATTGAAGGAAAGGAGTGGCTGAACAGATACATGGTGCCTGTATCGTAATTCAAGAGCTGCAGCTGCGTGTCTGTTTTATCACCCGATGCAGTGTTGGCAGATCTGTTGTTCTGGATCATAGTCCATAAGCTTTCCTAGAGTGTAAGTGGGGTCTTTCATCATTATTATGTTACACAAAATGCTTTCAAAATCAACTTTTAAACTCTGCAGTAGTGGAAAGGAGTCAGTTTAGCTGTTTGATCTATAGTACAAGTCGTGGTCACATACATTGTCATCCAGATTTAAAAAAAAAAAAAATAGAATTTGTGAATTAGCAAACTCTGCCTTGGTCCTTGAGAGGGCCTTACAGTATTCTCATGTTACTGAAACACTAAAGTCTTTTAAGAAACCTTCTTAAATTCAAACTGAACCAGAAGCTAGTGTGGCAGCTTTGGAGAATATATGCTAGAAACAATTGTTCAAGCTAACTGAAGGGAAAAAAGGTTGTGTTTAGTTTTAGTTTTAATTAGAACTGGAAAGGTTGCAGAATATTACTGGTTCTTGCTTGGGTTTAGTTTAAAAATATGTCATCTTCCTCCCCATCCCCCAAGGAAAATGCTTAAAAGCACAAAGAAAATTCCTTATTTTACATACAACCATGTAGGCCAAAATTTTGTGGAGTGACATTCTAGCCTAAAGCTCCTCTGAGTTGGAGAGGGGATGTATTTCTCTTGCAAGTCTGCTTTGAAGCCTTGTGAAAGCAATGCCAGATGTCTGTTATCTAGAAACCAAAAAGAAAAGGCAAAACAGACTGGCATAGTGATTTGATCCAATTCTTTTCTGTTAAAATTATAGCAAAATAAGTTCCCTAGATATTCCTCATTCTCTTTTAAACATTTGGCTGTAATCTGTCCATCATATTTGCATACATAACATTTTGATTCTCCTCCTCCCATCCCCCAGTCTTGATGTTCTTACCTTTTTCTAACCCTATAAGGGACTTTTTTTTTTCTTTTTTTTTTTTTTTTTTTTTTTTTGAGTAAGAATATTTAACTGAGTGAATGGCAGAATGGTAGACACTTGCATTTCAGGTGAATGTATGGGGTACAATATGGGCCTAACTGGAAGTGTATGTACATGCAATCAATATAACCAATATATTATTGGAAGTTTGGGCAGATAGATGTGGGAGCGTGAGGATTTTGTGGTTAGTTGAGGACTTGGGGGGTTTGTTATTTTTGAATGGAGACTGAATTTTCCTTGTGCCATCTCTGGATGGTCCTTCCTAGTTAAAATATAATGATATTGAATGAGTATCGTGTATTAAAAAAAAAATCCAACTTAGTGTGGTATGTGTGGAGTTTTATGGACAGAACATTTTTCTGTCCACCTGCCTTTTTTTTCTCTCTCGAGTATAGGTACTATAAATGATTCATCAGCCTGCTCAGGGAACTGGGAGCCATCTGTGCAGAGTTATCTCCAGTCTCACCTATTTTAATATTAGGCTGAGTTATCAACATATTAAGTTTCAGTTAATTTTTCTTTGTTGATTAATGCTAAATTCCCTGGGAGCATCTTTCTTTTTAATTAAAAGAAAATCCTATTTTCAGCATTGCTAGCTATTATAAGGCAATGTGTTTAGAGTGTCTTTAGAATGCCTTTAACAGAAAGCATTCAGCTGTTCTCCATTTTACTGTCTCTATTAATGTAACAGGATATACTGTGAAATTATGAAAGTTTTATTCCTTCTGAATATCAGTTTCTGAGCAGATGGAAAACCAGAATTAAGTAGTAATTTAAAATTATGGCTGAGAATTCTGATAACATTATATCATTTAGGGTATTTTTTTCCCTTATGGTTGTTTTCTTGGTAGCAGTATTCAATAATAGGAGAGAGTGTGTAGTAATTTTCTCACTTCAGATCTCTTGTTAGCTGAGAAGTATTTTAAGGGTAACTTGAGCAGTGTAGTGCTTCAAAGAACTTTTAATTTGATAACTCATTATATTGATTCAGATCAATATCAATCATAGAAAATGACCACATTGTACAGAAATGGATTACCAAGTAATCTTCATGCTAATTTGTTCTCTCAACCCTTTTTTTTTCTTAATTACAGTGGTTTAACTTGAACTCTCTCTTGATGGGTCCAGAACTAATATCAGATACATATCTTGCACTTTTCTTGGCTCAATTACAACAGGAAGGTAATAGTAACTTGCAGATGTTAAATCTCATTAATAAAAAGTAGGTAATAATGATTATTTATTAGAGCTTTTCCTATTCAGTTAATTACCCGTAGCTTTGTGATGGAAATAGTCAAGTCCTTATAATGAAAGGTAGAGCCTTATATTGTAATAGATCATGCATCATTGTCTGCTGTATAATGTATATTTTAGAGCATTTATCTATACGCTTTATATTGTAGACTTATGATTTATTTTTCTCAGGTTATTCCATATTTGTGGTAAAAGGTGACTTGCCAGATTGTGAGGCTGATCAGCTATTGCAGATGATTCGGGTACAGCAGATGCAACGACCAAAATTAATCGGAGAAGAGGCAGCACAGTCAAGAGAACAGAGGTAAAGTAAATAGAGATTTCATTTAAACAATGTTAAACATAATGGGTTTCCATGACTAGCACCTAATAATGACTAATGAAAACCCCAAAGTAGAGTTATATTAGCACAAAATATTTCTGTTAAAAGCTCACAAAATTAGTATTATTATCTGATAGTGTTTTAAATGCATCAACTTTACAGACCACCCAAAAGTGATGTGGACCAAGCAGTAGAAGTTAACCAGCCTTTTGATGGAACAGGCATGTTAGATGAGGATGAGGAGAATTTTCAAAGAGCCTTGGCCCTAAGTAGACAGGAAATTGATATGGAAGATGAAGAAGCTGATCTTCGTAGAGCCATTCAACTCAGTATGCAAGGTGCAGTGGTTATTTAATGTCTTAAGTAATATTTTTTTAACTGATTTTGATACAATTTGATGCAGTTGATACAGACCTAGAGCATTTTGGTTAGCTACTTCCTCTGCATGCTTCAAGCTCCCTGAAGAGCCTGACTTTGAGGCAGGGAATAACAACCCAGTCTTTCCTGTATCTCTTCATGGTTTTTTGAAAATTTGCTACTTTTTATGTTTGCATTCATCATTGGGAAGCAAAAATGAATTGTAAATTGCTGACAGAAGGCAAGGGAAACAGTTCTAAGGTGAGTAGAAATAGCATCAGTGAAGTTGGCTGAAGTGCTTATTTTACCAAAAGTCTCTTTCCTCCCGTCAAATTTGAGGAGATGATTCTAAATTATACTTTGTTTACAAACTTCATTTTGCTGTAATTAGTGGAAGTAACTGTTGTGTTCTGCTTTTAGGGAGTCGTCGAAGTGAGTTCTTGGACTCAGTACCGCAGAATTTTCCACAGTCACCTCAAACAAGTCAGTCAGACTCATTTTCTTCAGAAGAACTGCGAAGGAGAAGACAAGCGTATTTTGAAAAGTAAAGTAGCTGACAAAGAACCTAAAATTGCATATGGAAATAAATGTCTTTAGTGCTTCAGGGGGTGTGGGGGTTTCTCCCTGAGGTAGTCTAGTTTAACGTTTACTTCTTAACATGATTTCTTGTCCTGTGCCACGTGCTCTAGGTGACCCTGCGTGAGCAGGGGGGGTTGGACTAGATGACCTCTGAGGTCCCTTCCAACCTTAAGCATTCTGTGATTCTATGATTCTTAATAGAACCTGAATTTCACTATTCACAAATAGCTGCTGTGAAGTAAGGACTGGGAAAAACTGATAAATAAAAGGGGACCTGTTAGTAATGCAACATTTGCAGTCTTGTGAATGAAAGAAAACAGACATGGTATAAATATATTTTTTATATCAAGTCTTGTAAACAATTTTGATAATTATTTTCTTTGAGGAAAAGATTCATACTCTTCTTGCTTCTGCTAGAGAGGCATGTAATGTGCATCACATGAAAGAGCTCTAGATGATATTTGTGTGTTCTGCTCTACATTCTTATATTACGGCTGTTTGTGATTGTAGCTTTTACCCATCTGTCTCTCCTAGAGAGAGGGCAAATTAAGACTCAGGTGAAATGCTAAGGGTTGGAGAAGTTAGTCTTTAAGAGGATAAGACTCATGAAATCTGAATTCTGGGAAAATAGGAATGTAATGTGGGAGAATAGTTGCTTGGAGGTTAGTGGAAAGAACAACTGAAAGGATTTAGGTGCAAGAGTGTTGCTTCAGCAAACAGCCTATATTTCTCACCCCTGTTCTTCCTTACAGTGAAATAGACTTTGTAGTAACATGGAAATAATGTCAGAGAAGAATCTGAAAAAAAAAAAAAAAAAAAGGAAAAATAAAGTCATTATGAATGTAAACATTTGACAGGGTTGCTCTTACAAGGAGCACTTAATTCTAAAAGCTATAGAAGCATTTTTTCAGTTTTATCAAAAAAAAAATTGCTAGGTGTTTCTATACTTCAAATTACCTTGGCATAGTTGATATTTTTTCAGAGCCAAAAATGAATCTAGGAGAAAATGGTACAAGCAGTGACAAGATCTTTGTGATTTTTTTAATTGTGTTTTATAAAAAGGACTTTGTTTATGATAAATTGTGTAAGCTTATAACATACGAAATGCCCAAGTCTTAAAATTTCCTTTCTTTGATTTTAGAAACCATTGTTAAAAAAAAAAAGTGATAGTTTAATTTCTTTTGCTTTAACTGATATCCAAACTGTCAAAAGATGTAGTACACTGAAGTGAATGATAAAAAAAACAGAAGAGTTTTCCTTTCATATCAGATTTGCATGAGTTTTTAGAAGGATAGCTGGTTGGTTGTTTTTTTGGTTGCTTGTTTTTTGTTTTAGAAACTATAAAGGTATAGCTGTATTTGATACTCAAAACATCAAAGTAGGTCTCATATTGATATTAATTTTATTCTTTTATAAATCTGTAACACTTTCAGGCAGCAACAGCAGCTACGGCAGCAAGACCCGACCCAAAACCTACATGATAAGCAAACTAGAAGTTCAAGCACCCTGGAAGCTGACCCAGGTTGGTGTTTTAAAGTTACTTCCAACACTGATATAGCTATAGTGTTTTTTCTCTTTTGTTTTGTTTTTTACTTCTGCTGTTCTGTTTTGTCCTGCTCTCCCGTTCTCTGTGTCTACCTACATCCTCCCTGCACCAGCTGCTCAGGCTGTGCATCACAACTGTTACCTTTTTGAGCAGTGACAGAGGGCATCACTTTCTTGAAAAGCCTGTTATGGATTGAATGTAAATACCCTATTTCAAACTGTAGAGCTGCACCAGTAGAGAGTTTAAGTTCTGGATTTGCTTTTTATTTCATTGACATTGAGCATACTGTAGGAAATTGTAATCTGTAGTGGGACTGTGTTAACAGTCTGCTTTCTAATTGACTTGTAGATTTTTATTAAAATGTTACAAAAATTAAATAAGCCTGAGGCTATATCTAACAATCACTAGAACCATATTTTAATGGAAAAGATGTAAGCCGTGTTAAGCATACGTGAGCCAAAATGAGTATCTGTTACTGGCTATCGACTGACCATTGTGCGTGGAAAGCTAACTGCCAGATATTCAATAATAATGATAGAAGACCAACACTAACAATTCTGGTGGCATAAGGGGAGACAATGGGGATATGGACAAAAGGAACAAAGAAGGTGGTATTTAGTACAGTTGATCACTAGCTCTACCTATTTATTGTTAGTTATTTATAGATTGTATGCATGTGTTTTTCTCTAGGAGGTGATATGAGTGAAGAAGACATGCTTCAAGCAGCCATGAATATGTCTCTGGAAACTGTTAGAAACCACATGAATACAGAAGAGAAGAAATGACATCACTTTTTTAATCTATGTTGCTAAAACACTAAAACTCCATTATTATTTTACTGTGTGGGTGTTGCAAAAGCAGGGTTCATTTCAGAGCTGTGGAAGCAGGAATGAAAAGGGGGGCAAGAACTCAGAGGGTTAGAGGGAAACAGCAAATACTGAGGTGATTGCACTGTTCTAGAAAACAAAAGCACTTGCTCTGCAGAACGTCTCTTCACAAGAGCAACTGTTCATGTGAACAAAACCAGATGCACATAAAAAGTAGCTGTAGCTTGCAATTGAGAAGCAAGCTTAAATTCTTTTGAAAAATTCTACTCAAAGTATGTAAATTGAGGGAAAAAAATGCATCAAGTGATTTTCATTTATGCAAAAATACTTGCAAATAATATTACTTATTGCTCCTTTTTGGGGAAAAAAAATCCACACTTTTTAGATGGGAAAAGAATTTTGTATATTTAACTCAATTTTGTGATTTTGTAAATTTTTTTTCTCTTCCTGCACGTTTTGAGAACGTCAGTATATTGGTCTTGCTATCCAGTTCTGACATAACCTACTCCTTTTAAAGAAACTTGAACCCTGAAACATGACTTTCGTGCTTGGCTGTTCAAGGGAAACTGCAGTGTACTGTTGTGACTCCTAATTAACTCTTTTAATGACTTCTGGCATTGTAAGAGTTCCAGTCTTTCACTTTCAGGCCCAGACACTAAGTCTTTAGATTGATGTTTTGAAATAGGTTTTCATTTTTTTTCCCATTTTTGTTTTTGGACACACATTTTTTCCTACCATTGTCTCTGCCAGGCTTGGTAGTATGTAATCACTTGGGTTAACAGTTGTTTTTGGTTTGGATTTCTTTCTACTTCTGGAGGTTTATTTTTTCTTTTTCCTGTCCTTTCATCATACTCAGTCCTTTATTTTAGCCTCTTGTAGTAATAAAGTTGCAACTGAGTCTGGGAGAGAGAAGTGTAAGGTTTAGATGCCATAAAATCAGTGCCACACATGAGGTGCATTCCTGCAGTTTGAAATGATCCCTGTACAAGTAACTCTTTTAAAACTGAATATTTATATTTGTGTGGATGTTCTTTCTGAAATGCTTTTTATGGGTGTCTGTCAATGTTGCAGCTTTTTCAGGAATGGCCTTTATATATGCACCTTAACTTTTTTTTGATCATGCTATTTCTGATTCTGAGGAAAATTGGGGAGCAAAGTATGGGAGCTTGTTCTACTGGTTGTAAGACATTTACTTGGATATCCAGGATGAGTGTGTAATAGGGTGACCAAACTTGACATTCAACTCTAGTACAGCAGTTCAGATGCATTTAGTTATCCTAAATGGTGCTTGAAAAATGAATTCTGTTTACATATAAGTTAAAGGGGAATATTTTGTAGGTCCAGTTTAGTTAATGCATTAACAGTTAGTACAGGCATTCTAAGAATAATCTTGAAAATAAATTCTTTTTCACAATATCCTAAAGTTAGGTCATAGCACAGTAGTCACCATTCAAATTATGATTAACTGCAGGGTAGTTAGAGGGAAACATATTCAGCATCGAGTAGTACTGTACCTGAAAGGGCTTTTACCTCTGAGTAAAGATTTGTTTACAGCAATGATTTCTTGATAGCTTAAAATATTATTATAGTAAATGGGCTAAATTCTGTTTTCCTTACGTGTGTGCTGCATTTCCACTGATGTCAGCAGAACCACTTGTATGGGAAGTCGATACAGATTTTGCCATGGGGACAGCATTATTTTTTAAAAAAATATATTAAATCTTATCACTATTAATGATACTGTTATGCACATAGTTAATCTTCTGCAATGTCTCATGTTAAATAATGTATCAAAATAATAAAGCCAAGCTATGGCTTAAAAATATATATATGTATGCATACGCCATTTTGAAATGCTGCATTTTTCAGGATATTTTCTGCTTTCAGTTTGAAATTTACAGGTAACTGAGAGTGGAGAAGGAATCTGTAAAGCACTGAATTGTCTTTTGGCTTGTCTGAAACGTGCTCATAACTTTAATTTCCCTTCTTTTGTTGTGCCATAAACTTATTTTTGAAATAAGATTCTCCTTTCTATAAGCAGGTATATATTGGCAAAGCTTTTTAAGATCTACTTTTAAGTCTTTTAAGACTTTTTTTGATATTAATACTTGGAATTTGGTACCTTATCCTGTTACAAGAGTATCATAAAAATTAACCATTTAGATAGCTATACAGCACTCCTGTATTTAAAACAAAATAAAAGTCAAACTGCATTAAATATAACCCAGTGACAATTACATGTTTTTTTTTATGATCATAAAACACTGAAGTCTGCATTGAATTTTCCTATCATTTCTTTTTTCGAATTACTTTATCACCCTAGTATTTTTTAAGGAATATAAAGTAACACAGTGCCTCAGTCACCACCATGGGAATCAGTGACAGGGCTGTGTTCCATGCTGTGCAGAAACAGTCATTCTGCAAATGGCGTTTGGCATTTGGAGAATTGACACATTCACCCAAGTGGGTGAAACTGCTTGGTCAGTCTGTTCAGATCTAGTGTTTTATGCTGTATGTGTTACTTGCACCAAAGGGAAGAACTAACAGTATGTGCTGACAGGACACACTTTATAACCCAGATCTAAAGTTCAAGATGTGTGGACCTGCCATGAAGCTGTCAATAAAAAGGTGATCTCATTTTCTCGGTGTGCCTTCTTTTAGTAATAAGCACTTCTCAGTTTGGCTGACCTAGGAAACGTAAGATATTTACCATTTTGGAGTCTGTTACTACTATTACCCATTCAGAGAAGCTAAAGGATTTTTTCCCCTGTTACAGCTGTAGGATAAAGTCTTTTAAATTAGCATAATTACAGTATTATTATTATTGCAGTATATTTGAAGTAACTTTAAATCTTATTCATCCAAAAGAGTTTCTTTTTTGCTCACAGTGAGTGGTCTGTGTGACATCATTGATATTTTTCCTGCCTATAGAAATTGGAGGGAAAAGGGAGTGATAGTTACGTTGGGTATCTTACAGAACTGAAGTTCTCCAAATACACTTCAGTAAACTGTTTTTATACTTCTGGAATGAGGGCAGGAAGGAGTGTTTAGCGTCAGACTGCAGTTGGGCTTGAATTTGATTATTCTTTGATGCTGCTGCTATTTACATGAATTTTTTAAATGTTAAAACTTAGAAGTTTGAAAGTCATCTTCTTTATGACACTGGCTGCTTTCCTGCGCTTGGGCTCCTTGTGCCATCCAAATAGTTTCTTAACAGAAAGCAGTGTGCTGCATATATACCAGTTTAAATGTACTTTTACATATTGTTATTTTGCAGACTTTGCACTGTGAAATTAATTATTGCTCATTTGATAAGCCGCTGCTGTTTTATATTAAGCAAACAATTGTTCAGAAATATATGTAACAGGGAATATGTATATATGCAGTCTCCACCCACACATAACAACCAGTTCAAATAAGACTAATACTTAATACATTTAAACAAGACCAGGCTTAATATACTTTCAAATGGATAACTTTCTTGTGTCCAGGTTTGCATCCTGAAAGTGGGAGCTGTTCCATAGTAAAACTTATAAACCTACGGTATATGAATTCAAATATTGAGGGAATGCTTCAGTATTTAACCTGCAAATGTCATCTCTTTCCTACTTCCAGATTTTCAAAGTAAGTTAAAATGCATGTAATTTTTCTAATATATTTAGCTTTTTGTTTTTGGTCAAGAAAAGTGGACAGTTGTTATTACACTTAGGTTTCTTCCCAGATTTCTTTATGCAGTCATTCACTGCGTAAATTCAGGAGAGGAAACTTAAAAAATGGGCTGAAAGAAAGAAGGTACAATATTTGAATGCTACAGTGCAAGAACAGAGAACCTTGATAGGGTCTTTTAAGCAGGCAAGCACTGATTAAATTTGAACTTTTGCTATGTTAAACCCTGTGAATAATTCTATTCACAGGAACACAAATTTAGGGTTTCCTGATGGGATAATTTTTCCCCCCTCTTACCTAATAAGGTAAAGTTAGAAATCAGTTCCAGCTACAGATAAATTGTGTGTGTGTATGTGTGTGTATATATACACATATGTATAATATATTTATTTTCCTGTCATTAAACTGCTTTAAGTATAAAATTATTGGCACTAAACTTTTTTCTAAATTTTGTGCATGTAAATCATATAACACTATAAAGATACAAGTAGGAAAGTTGAAAATATTTGCCATTGCTTTGAATGGGTAATACCAGTGCTGATTAGTATTTTGAGAAGGCTGTCCAAAAAAAGTGAATGAGCAATAATACATAGTTATGCTTGGTAAGTTTTTTTCTTAATAAAAATGATCATAGCTTCTAATATTTTCCCTTGACCTGAATTGTTGGATATAGGCTTTCCCTTATATGTGGGTCACCAATGGTACTGAAACATCACTTCCTGTTTCAAGATTGATGTGAAAACATCCCTGTTAGTCAAGGATGTTGTTGGTGCTTGTATTTACACTGCATCTTAAAAAATGTTTGCACTACAGTTTTAGAATAGTCTAGTATGTTTGTTGTTTTGCTTCAAGAACACACTTTTTTTTTTCATGGCGTAATGTATCATTAGCTCAGTTAACCCACAAAACATATTGATTCCTGTTTATACAGTTATCAATAGCACCTGAAGTCAATCTGCTAAAAAAGTAAATTGCAATGTTAAACCATCAGTTTCTAGATTTTCAAGAAAAAGACGAAAACCCTCAGTGCTATTCTCTTAGCTTCTTGCTTTACTTCACCATTGTAATATGAAATATTGTAAGAGATATTTTTTATCATCTTCAGATATTTTGAAAAGTCTTAAGGATACCCCGATTTTATTTTAATAATTTAAGAATTTCTCAAAAAAAAAAAAAGTTAATATTGGAATAGATGATACACCCTTCATTTCATATAGATACCTAACTTCATATTAAGCTGAGTCTTGGTGCAAAGTCTTTCAAGCATCCTAAACTGCAGGAAGTATTGGACAGCATGCCTGGGTCCCTACTCTTTTGTCATTACTGTTAATAAGAGGGAATTAACCTGAAGTTAAAATGATGTTTTCAATTAGAACTGGCAAAACAATTCAGTTAAGGTGTACGTTTGCACCTCACAGCGTTTCTCTACGTGTTTTCCACCGCTCAGGTGTGCTGCCTGCTGGCTGGCCAGAGCCGCCAGGTCGCAGCAGGGAACGGGTGCCATGCTTTGGCCATGACTGCTCTTCCCGTGGGAGCCGGTGCTGTTGTTACGAGGCCGCTCCCTGCACGTGTGTGTGCGTTAAGATGATGTTTGTGTTAATCACAGGCCCCTGTGCACCGCGTTCCCGCTCGCGGCAGCGTGTCCATGGCGCAACCGGCCGGTCTCTCTGCGTGCCGGGTGGGCGCTGTCACCCGCCGGCAGCGTCTCCTGCCTCCTCCTGCGGCCTTTCCGTGCCAAGGAGGGTTTGTTGGAGAAGGGACAGGGCTTCCACAGCACCAGGGCTGCTCCCTGAGAGGCTCCCAGCTGGAGAACTCCCTCCAAGTACCTCAGCCACCAGGACCCACCTGAGTGCGGGTGTCCCCAAAGGGCAGCTGTAGGATGGTGCAGGGACAACACATTCTGAGAGGGTTAAATTGACAAAAAAGAATATATATATATATATACACACACACACAGAGGTGTATATAGATACACATATATATTTGTGTGTGTATACACACACATAGAGTTTTGGATGCCATTCGTTCCACAAGGCAAAACTGCTCTTGCCCTGAGATTTCGCTCCCCTGGTGTTTTGAGTACTTTATTTCACTGCCTGCAAGTGAATGGCACCAAGCCCCGGAGAGGCGAAGGGCAGGACACAGCTCCCTGCCCTGAGTGAGTAACACGGGGCTGTTCGGGGGCGTTCGGACGCAAGCGCCGCCACAACCCTCCCAACGGCGGGACGAGCAGCGCCTGGCGCGGGCGGGGCGCTCCGCCGCCCTCCCGGCGTCCCCCGCGCCGCCGCCACGTCTGCGCCGGCGCGGGGCGCGCTGGGCGGGGCCGCGGGTGCGCGCGGCGCTGTCATGGCGGCCGTCGAGGTGGCAGCGGCCGGCGGCGCCGCGAGGCGCTGCTGAGCGGGGCGGGCGATGCGCGCGGGGCCGGCGCCGCGGCCGCTCTGCTGAGGCCTCCCCGGCGGCGGCGGCAGCGGGGAGGCGGCCGTGATGGCGTCGTGGCTGGGCGGGCTGGGCTCCGGGCTCGGCCAGTCGCTGGGGCAGGTCGGGGGCAGCCTGTCCTCGCTCACGGGCCACATCTCCAGCTTCACCAAGGACATCCTGCTCGAGGGCGCCGAGGAAGTGGGCGGTAAGAGGCGCCGCGGGCAGCCGGGGCCCCGAGCGGGCCCGGCCTCGGCCGCGGGGCCGCCCTGGGAAGCGGCGGGTGGTGCCCGGACGGGTCTGGAGGCTGTTTTTGCTCTTCCCCTCCGTCCTCAGCGGTGGGATGTAAACAAACAGACTGGCAGGCCGCGATGAAGGGCCTGCGAACCTGCTGAAGGGTCCGAGCCTCGGTAGCGAGAGACCGCAGCAGTGTTCGGCCAAAGAGCCCCGTTTCGCGGGTTATCGCTTGGATACTCTGTCTAAACCCTGTCTAAACAGCGTATCTAGAATGCCCCTGGAACAGCTGCCTGTAGAGGAGCGGTGGCCAGATCGAGCTGTAGTAGTTGGGTTTGTTGTTGTTGGGGTTTTTTTCCCCCTCCACTTCTCCTTTCTGTGTAATCCGAAGCCTGACGTGTCAGCCAGGCAAAGGTCCAGTGCAGTTGATGCTCTTTATGTTTACATTTCAGCAGGGCCCAGGGAACTCGGTGGGTTCCCTCGCACTCTCCTGTAGCCAGGTAGGAGAATGTAAAGTACAGAGGGTAGGCAGTAAAAAAAGCCTGAGGCATCAGAGTAAGATATTCCATAAAGTAACCGTCCGCTTCTTCTAGAATGTAGTAGTTCCTTATTTTTCATAAGGCATTTTTGAAAAAAACTTTAGATTTTTTTTTTTTGAAAATCTGATTCTTGATGCATACCATAGGTTAATCTTATTAGTGTTATTTAGAATTCTGCAAATGAAAATTATTGAAAAGTAAATGTTCTAATGTGAGTATAAACAATGACAACTCTGAAGAACAGCTGTGACTTTTAAATGCGGATCTTAGAATGTCAAGTTAAACAACTTCACCTAGTCTCCAGTTTTGCAAGTGTGAAGGTTTTGTATAAAGACATTATCTTGCGAATTGGATGAGTTTTCTGGATGTTTTCTGGGCTTTTTGTTTGTTTGTTTTGGTTTTATGGTTAAACTGCTCTGAAGACAGAGACCTGCTCTGACTTTTCAGTTCTGGAACACGTGCTTACAATTATTTTATAATCCAAAAGCCATATTAGTTTAGTTTGGAAACTTACTTTACACCTCTAAGGTGTGTAGTCACCTGATGCCTTCCCCCCCGCCCCTTTTCTCCCTTAAAAAGCCAAACTGAGATTCCAGTTCACAGATTTGTGCTTCAGTTTGTGAGAGATATTCAGCAGTAATTCCCAGTTGTGCTTGACTGGTAGATACTGCTGTGAACAGCTTTGTTGTATTTAAAACTTTTATGGCATATTAGTCTTACTCTCTTGAGGATGTAACTATCCAGTAGCAACTAAATGCTGTTCTGCTGTAGTAAACATCTTTGCATATGGCATGGCCTAAAAAAAAACCCTTCCTTTTCACCTGATTTTTAATGTTTCTACTTTTATATACTGTCTGACTTCCAGCCAAATTAATGATGGTGTTTGCAGATTATAGACCTGAACATCTTCAGGTTAACAGGTTTTGCAGGCAGATCATTTCTTCTGCAGTACTTGAGCACCACCTCCCACAGTACCTGAGAGACTAGAAAACGGTTACTTGTATGTTCATATTTCAAACTTACAAAGGCTGCCAGTGTTGTTGTCTAGCCAGTTACATATAGTTACATATATTGACTTATAAAATTAATTTGTAAATGGAAAAAATGTTATATCCTTCCATTAAAAAGTGGGGCAGAGGAAAAATAACCTAGTCTGTTTGAGGAACACTGGTCGATGAAGTATCCAGGGCTTTTTGTATTATATAAATCAGTATGGTCAAAATTTTGTATATGTCTTCTGGAGTGGTGTGTGAGGTTTTTTTTTTTTTTTAATAATTTAAAAAAGGATTGGTCTGATTGGTCTTTTGTTTTTGTGGTGATCTGCTCTTTTTGAAATTTTAGTCAGCCTCACTTTTGTGTGTATTTTATACAACTTGTATACAATGCTTGTTGTGAACCTTCCTGTGAAGTTGTTGGGAAATACAACTTGTCATGTTAAGGGCAAAGTCCAAAGTAAAGAGCAGATTCAGAAATAGACATCAGTCAATATACACAGACATGTCCATAAGAATAAGCATTAAAGCAGTTGAGAGTAAAAATAGTTTGCTAATTTTGATTTTAATGTCTGTGTAACAGACTTAGTTTAGCAAAGCTCAAAAATTTCATTTTTCTTTCAGATGCAGCAACCGAACTCCATGTGTCCAATTCTAGACTCAGAGAAGTAGAAAGTATTAATGCAGCACAGAAGTCAGAAGTAAGACATTTTGGAATACATTTACTGTAATTAATAAAAATGATTGTGGGGCTGGTCAAAACGAAATATTGCACTGAAGATGCAGATTTGTGCCCTGGGATGCACTGGGGCTTGGACCTTAATAATAGACTTTGCATTCTTTCCATTTACAGTTTTAATAAGTTTTAACTGTTAACGAGTCAAATGATTCATTATGTTTTACATCTGTCCATAAGTCAAAGCAAATCTAGAATGCCTGCTTCTTTTGCTTGACACTGTAACTTTCATGGTGAACTACAAAGTCTGGAGGATGTGCTCCCTGATACAGCACATGTTGCCTCCCATATGGTCCTTTTGACGTAGCTATAGATGCTCATGTGTTTTTACACCAGCTTATAAATCCCTTGTACTCATGTGGCAGATAACTGTGTCCTTATAGAAGGACCTGCTGCTGTTGTGATTTTATCTGTAAAGCAGCCACCTTCGTGTGCTAGGTCTGCTCTTCTGAGTAGAGTGAAGGTAGGAGGGTATATTGGGAAGTAAGAGCTTTTGCTTGTCCTGTTTCTAGGCTCTTATCATTTGCTGTTGGCCACTGTCAGAGACAGGGTATGGGGCCATAAGGTATTAGCTCAGTTTGTTATGTATCTGTTCTAAAATTCCCCCTTTCAATGCTATTCATCATATGAAGAATAATTCAGCTCTGAAATTTTTCTTCTTGGCATTTAGGTCTGATCACAAACTGAGTGTGAATTAAAGCTTGTGCTATGTAAAATTGGAAAGTTTAGACATGAAAATAATTTTGGGGCATATTTGGAGTTACTTTTACCACGTATTTTGACTAAAATAACATGAAGAATCTTTACTTTTTAAACCGTTTAGCAACCTTCTGCTTTTCTAGTTCTATAAGAACTAGTTGTTCAGAGCTTAATATGCATTTCTGATTTCTGCTAGAATGAAAGACTGAAAAAAGTTTGTAGTGATTTAGAAGAAAAGCATGAATCAGCAGAGCTTCAAATAAAACAGTTGTCTATAGAGTACCGAAATCAGCTACAGCAAAAAGAGGTATGATACTGAGTAAAATACTTGAGTAAGTATATCCAATAAATTTACATATTACATTGACTAATATTTTTGTTTATTTTTCATATCTGTACTTTTTCTTTGGAATCAACAGTTAAAGTTGTAAATATACTAATAAGATTTCTTCATTTATTAGAGACTGAGAGACAAAGGCATAGATTTCCTATAATTCATATAATATAACCACAGGTGCAAGAGCATAGATGAGAAGATAGATATCTTCAGAAATATTATGTGTATATGAGAATTTGTGTCCTTTTCATTATCATTAAGAGAAAGGATAATTTAACTACTTTGTATTTCTGATTCAGTTATCTTTGTTGAGGAAGTTAGCAGAGCAGCAAGTACTCATTTGAAGCAGTTATTTTTCTTGGTGTATTTAACTTATTTATCTTAAACTGTACAATTGGAACAGAACTACCATTCATAAGTTAAGGAAGTTTATCTTTGTGATGTAAATCATCAGTTATGAAAATTACTCTTTAAATGCGAGTTTCACAGCCTTTTAAGTTAAGAAAGTTGCTAATGTGCCAAGAATGTTACACAAGATAGGTTTATTTCTCCTTTATTTGTAAACATATGTGGGAACTAGAAGTAGGATTGTGAGATATACAATATTCTAATCATTGAATATAATAGAGGTGTTAAAGTAAAATTGTATGCAGCTAATCTGTGTGATGTGGATAAGAACATTTGCAATACTCTGAAATGTTGATCATAATGTAAATAATTTGAGTAATTTTGCTTGATTTTCATATTTTGAAACCCTTCTTGAAGATTTTATTTTATTATGCAACTTGCTAGCCTAAGCTTGTTAGCTGAAAAATCAACAAAAATCTTCAGTAAATCATGGTAAGGGTAGTGTGGCATGGATTGGTTGGTTTACTACCAACTGCTAGTAAACTGGTTACTGGTTGGTAGACTATATTCATATTCTTTATTAACTGATTAATTACTGACTAATTAAAATAATGCATTGTATTCTGTGCTTTTAGGTGGAAATCAGCCATCTAAAAGCTAGACAGAATGCACTACAGGAACAATTGCAGAAGGTACAGACAGCTGCTCAGTCAGCACAGTTGGGAGCTGGTGTTTTGCCACCGACTACTACATCAGCTTCCTTTGTTCCAGTGGTTCGACATTCCTCAGGTTTTCAAGATGATGACATGGATTTTGGAGATATAATCTGGTCACAGCAAGAAATAAACAGATTGTCCAATCAAGTTTCTAGGCTTGAATCTGAGGTTGAACACTGGAAGCAGATCGCACAGGTGAGTGATTCACCCCCCTTCTCCTCACTCTCCTCTCTGCCTCTGGATTAGTGTTTTCAGGGCATTTAGGTTTCCTTGAGTGTGTTCTTTTGGTTTATGCTTTCACATTTTAGAGAATTGACATGATTTGATGGAAGAGGTGAAAGTCTTTTGTTCTCCTTTGCTTATGTGGTTCGTGACACATTGAGCACACTGAGTGACTTTTTTCCAAAAGCCTTTTCAGAATGCATTTAAGCATGGTCTGTTGAGTTAGGAAAAGCACTCCAAAAGTACTTATCGAGTATTAGTACTACTTCAGAGTTTACTTTTTATGCAGCTTTTTAGAAATACTCCTCCTCCTGGAAATGCTGTTGATTGACAGCACAATACTGCTCAAAGTGGTAGTTAGATGTCTGTGTATTATTTTTCCTTACTCTTTTCTCACTGCTTGCTATGTCAGTTACAACATTTGGTCTGCTAAGATGGGAAAGAATAGAATCATTCAAGCTGTTGTTGATGTAAGTCATTATTTTTCAAGCCCTTGTTTAATATCCAAGATACTGCTTGGTTCTTGTGGAAATACCGAAGTAAAAAGAAACCACCTTGTTATCTTAGTAGGTGTGATAATTACCCTTTTCCCCTAGCCAAAGATTTACATATTTAGAGGGAGAAAAGTGGAAAGTCGCAGATGTTTACATTAAAATTAACTCTCTCTTTTTCTGAGCGAAGTTACTGTAGCTTTGAACTTTGCTTCATGTTAGTAATCCTGATGGTGTTATCTACGTCATGGTAGGCACTGGCTGCTTTGCTTTCCTTCTTTGGATATCCTGTTCATTAAGTATTTGCATGAAAAATATTAGGTATTTATCACATTTTCCACATGGAAATGTTTTTTTTTTTTCTTTTGCCTAGCCTTCCAAAGGGCAAGGAGCAAGTGATGCAGAACAAAGTGAAGTCTGTAAACTGCAAAATATCATTAAGGTAAGATGATAACTTTGACAAGCTAGTCCTCTCTTATCCTTTATTTTTGAGGGGTTTGCATCCAGCAAGACTTTCACAAGTAAAGTTGAGATTTGTAGCACAGGTACTTTATTCTATAAATAATGCGAGAGAGGAGGCACTTAACTGTGCTTTAGGCTGAAATGTTGTTGTGTTCTCTCAAAATGATTAGATTTGATTTGAAATCTAGGGGAAAGAACTTGCTGAATATAATACACTTAAAAAGGTAATATTAGTGTATGTAGAGGCAGCTAATGTTCAGAAGCAGTTGATAACTTGTGATAATGAATTTTCATGCTCAAAAGGTGCTCAAAATACTTTTTACCTTTTTAGTTTAAGAAACAGATACAGATTTGCATGTCATACTTGAAAGTTATTAAAATGTGTCCTGCTATATCTCCTTTCAATGACTTAAACTGTCTGTAGAGATTACAATTACATTAATTGGTGTTGTATGCAACATAGTTTTTAAGTATTAAAAAATACAAGAAACAGCCTCTTCTGTGAAAAAATATTTTAATTTTGCTTGGAAAAGTTTTTCTTCTGTTTCTTGCTTAGGGGTGTGTACTGTATTTAGCATTCTCTTTATCTAACAATATTTTTAGGAACTCAAGAGGAATTTAAGTCAAGAAATAGATGAACATCAGCATGAACTTTCAGTATTGCAAGATGCACACAGACAAAAGCTAGCAGAGTTAAGTCGTCGACATCGAGAAGAGCTGAGTGAATATGAGGAGCGAATTGAAGAACTTGAAAATCAGCTACAGCAAGGTGCTTATTACCATGTGTGTTTTTGATGTTTTCTGCTTTAATTTACAGTGAAGTCTGGTAAAAGTATAAAATATAAGTATTATGAACATGTACGTTAATACATGTCAAATACATGATATTTAGAAATCTGAGCTTAAACTTCAGTACAGCTCTATGCTTTAAATAGATATTCTGATATCTTAAACACCATACTTGAATTGAGCACTGGAATAATAGCATTTCAGTGTCTAACATCTATCAGTTTAGACAGTCGTTTTATTTATATCAGACTTTATTCCCAAAATTCTACACTTCATGTTTGTTAGCTAAATACAGGGATGGAAGAGATGTACAGTGCTGAAGACAAGAATATTTCAACACAAAATACTCAAAATAGTTTTGTTGAGAATTTGGTTGTACCAGTTGATTTGAGCCCCTAGCTTGCAGTAGGGATGGTTTGCAATTCCCGATGGTTTGGCTAGATTGTAGAAGCACAATAATTGTCATAAGATGCTTTTCATTATGTCTTGCAAGTCCTTCAGAGTACATAAAATACAGGGTCTTGTTGATTACATCTCCTTTAGAGATTTCTTTGCACAAATATATACCTTAAAAAAGGGTGGGATGGGGACCTAAAAGTGCTATACCTATATATAATACCTATAATATTTGTAAGATGTTAAAACTTTGATTTCTAAACAGTGCATGTTCTCAAGTAAGCTTAAGCCTTTGAAACTGATTTTAAAAACTCACTGTTGTATCTGTATTGGAATGCATTTATGCAAAATATTGTACTGTCTGACAGCCATCAATAATCAAATTTTCATTTTAATCAAATAATCTTTTTATTTTAATTAATTTTATTTTAATCAAATAATCAAAAATCTTGATTTTGCATCAAGATGGGTTGTGCCTTGGTAAACTAGGAAATTTCTTATCCTGGTTACTTAGCTTCTGTCACCTTCACTATGTTTTCTTGTCAAGCATGTTTTAATTCAAACTTGGTCGTCCTGTGTCTTGTAGCTCCTATCTTTCAAAATTGTTTTAAGCCAGTGATGTGTATTTGAAAAGCAGCTCACCTACTCGCTCATATGGATGGCAGTACTTCAGATGTTAATATGTATATTAAAAAGTTTTATGTGAGAATCATATCTCTATTTCGGGAGAATTTTGCTCTCAGGAGAAGGGTAGGAAAAGGAGACTTGGATTTTGCTGAGTTTGAGTTTTTGGGTTTGGCAGAGATAGTTTTGCTTAGTATTATGCAGAAAAAAATATAAAGTATGCTAACGTATTAAAGTTTTTTGTTCATTTGTCTTTCCTTTAGGTGACTTAAGCACTGATGTCACAGATGAATTTAAAATTAGTGAACAGAAAAAGAATACGCAGACTCCAGATGCAGGAAAAGCAGAGGACCTGAAGATTATAAGGGACCTAGAAGATGAAATACAAAAATTAAATCACCAGCTGTCTTCTGCCAAAGAAAAAGAAAGAGCTCTTCTGAAGGAGCAAGAATTGATTAAGACAGAAAAATTCCAAATAACTCAAGAATATGAAAATCTAAAATCTGATTTTAGTAAGCTTCAAAGTTCTGTTGCAGAGCAAGATGCTCCCTTAAAAGAACAGAAGTTCCTATCCAAGACATCACTTCCAGAAGATGTTGTGAGGCTACAGCAAGCACTGTTAGGTATGAAGGTTGTGTGTTAATCATATCCTCACAGGTTTCCAATCTCATGCTCAGGATTTATTTTTAAAACATGTAACTGAAAAATTCTGTGTTAGCAAAGAGTTAACTAATGAGATGAGGGCCACAGAAAAGAAAACATAATTAGAATATTTTCATTATTGTAGAGGTTTCCATCATTTGGCAGACACTTAGCTAATCAGGATTTTTCTCTTTTGTGTGTGTGTGTGTGTGTATAGGCAGACTGATGCTAATACCTTCTCTAAGAGGCAGTGTAATATATCTGTTGTACAAGTATATCTGTTTTTAGAACACTTTTTAATACTGTGCAGCTAATGCACTCCTTCTAGAATCCTCCTGATGTAGGTTCAGTTGTAAAAATAGCACTGTACTTTGTGGTGCTGATATTGGGTAGTATTGATAGTATATATGAATATTTTACAGTATTGACTCCTAAAAAAGACAAACCATCACAAAACAGTGTGGAACCTGTTGCCTTTCTGAGCAGTGGGGCTATATTGGGGGAAAGGTGGGATAATTGCTTGTTTTTGTCGTTTAGGGCACGCTAATTTTTTTTCATTTTCCTCTTATAGAAGCAGAAAAGGAAATAGCAAGACTTTCAAGTTTAAATCAGGTAAAACAATTTGAAATTTTGACAAAAATTGTAACAGTAACTGATGGGAAAACACATTCTTGGTACTGTAAATTTTTTTGAAGGTTTCATGCTTCTTTATAATTTTATAATCAAGGAAATAAGAATAAGTTAACTTTATAATTACATATAGAAGTAGTGAAAATAATACATTTGGATTTTGTGAAAACCCACAGCTTACTGTGTTCAAGAAAACTGGTGGTGTTCCCCATATCACATTATGTAAGCTGCTCTAATGTGTAGTTCTATAGTATTAATTGAACACAGACTTGAACTGCTAGATGGATGAGATGGATGTCTTAGATACTATGTGTTTCTCGACATGTAAATATTTAAGAAAACAGACTGATTACAAGTAGTACTATTTAAATACTTAGAATCCTCCTTTAAAACATTTCATTGTTTAAATACTAATTTGGTGCCTTTTTTTTTTTTTTTTTTTTTTTTTTTTTTTTTTTGTAGGCTGGTAGTTTCACTGGTATGGAGAAGGATATTCCGGCATTTCTGCCAGATCTACAGGTTCTTAAAGAAGAAAATGTAAAGCTACGAAAAGAGAAGGTATGTATTTTAGTTTGTCTGGACTGTGTTTGAGTGCAATATAGGCAAAGCATTAAAATATTCTGAAACCTTTTCTAAAAATAATATTGTTTATTCTTGTTCTAAATGTACTATTACCTGATTATTGCAATTGGGTGAACAGATCAGTCAAGTTATAACATCTCAACATACAATTGTCTTAAAGCCCTTATGGTTTTTATTATTCAATGTCTTTCAGTTAAGGATTTCATTTTTATATATTACTTTCCCGAAAGTGTATTCACTTGACCTACTGAAAGGCAAAAGTACATTTTTTAATATAATGTGGCATCAGGGAATATTTTTCGTTTATTTGATAAACACTGGACATTTTGGAATTGGACATTCCAAACATTTTGGAAGCTGTGTTTTACATAAGATAAATATATTTCATTTACCATTTTAGAGAATTGATTCTTCTTCTAAATAGTTCTGAATTAGTTCATTACCTTATCAAGGACTTCAGATTCACTGGTATTGAATGACATTCTGTAAGATCTGTCACTTTTTTCACATCTTATTTCAATCTGTGTAGCCATGTTTCAGTGTAGACACTTTAGTTAATTCTGTTTGCTTGTTTTCCCTGTTGTAATAATAGTACTTTCCATATTATTTACTAAGCAGCAGACCATATAGTCTGTGTGGAACATAGCCTTAGCTCATAAACCCTTTCATAACGGTAGAAAGATTTCACCTAACTTGTTGCCAGGGGTATTTTTGAACAGAGATCTTCTTTGGTTTGCATGAATTCAAGTATTCCCTCGGTATTTTTTCACATGAATTTTCTTCAGTTGTTCTTGGTTAAAACTTGTCTTCCCAATGTGCAGCACAGTATGTGCTGAGGTTATCTCTAGGACATGTCAAGTTTATCCCAAGTGGGGATGTGTGTTTCAGAGGTGGATGTAACGTCCCTTGTCAGAGCACAGCTTGTTTCTGTGCATACACCTGCCTATGGCCCTGGTAACACTTGCCAATGTCTGAATGTAGACGAAGACTTCACAGTGAAGGAAGTTTAACTGGGATTCATGTAGGCCTAAGGGTTCTGTTCTAAAAAAAAAAAAAGTCTGCTTTAATTGTTTAAGAAAGAAACCATTAATTACTTAAACCATCTGAAATCTAAAAGTCTAAGCTATTTTTTGTTGTTGTTGTTTGCTCCTTCAACTTAAGGAGGAACTTCAAAAGGAGCTGACAAATGCACAACATAAAACTGAAAATATTCTTTCTATGTATACGGAGGATCAGAATTCAGAATTAAGTCAGTTAAGGCAAGATTTGGAAAGAAAAGAGCATGAATTAAATGAAAGTATTGCTGAAAGAGAAACCTTAATATCAGAATTGGAAGAACTGGACAAACAGAATCAAGAAGCTACTCAGGTAAACAAAAAAAAATTGCATGTATCTAGAATGTATAAATTATTCTGTGTGGCAATAAAATAGTAACATAAAATAGTTACAGGACCTTTCCTCTGCCAAAAGAGGGGCTGATGCAAAATTTTGAATTGCAACAAAACCATTTGTTACCAGCAAAGGAATCATGTCGGATGTCTATAGCACATTCTTCCTTCCTATGTCAAATTGATTTTTTTTTTTTTTTTTTTTTTTTTTTTTTTTTTTTTTTTTTTTTTTTTTTTTGATTTTTTGACCTCTGTCTTTGGCCGGTATGTGTGACACATCAGCTTTACCTTTTGTCAGGTTTAACTTTGTCCAAAGTAGTTCAGCTACTTTGTTACGCGTTCTTCATACTGTGAACACTTGTGGAGCCAAGGAGGTCACCAGTGATATGTAATCAACATCTATGTTGATTATTTATTGCTGCCCTGATACAGCTGGTTGCTAAGCTTAAACTTGCATGTTTTTCTAATATTTTTTACTTGATGGAATTGAGCAATTAAAATACTTTCCCATCAAATGAATCCTACCACCAAAAAAAAAAATCAATCAAGAAATTTTAAATAGAATATACAGATACTCAGTTGAGTCACTCGTTACTTATATTTAGTGACTGTTTTTAAGTAAGGTATATTTGCTGCATAATAGCTTTAACTACCCTGACAAATATAGATGTTTAATGTCTTTCTATATTTCTTCATTTGTGTGGTGTTTTACAGTGAAATGCAGTTTATTGCTATTTAGAGTTCGTTTTTAATTTGGCAATGAATAATTTATATTATTTGCCAGTTATTTTCTTTAAGTAAGGATCTTTGTTGTTGTTGTTTAGTCCAAAGGTTAAAAGTGAATGAATTCCGCTGTTCTGCTGATTCTTCTTTCCTAACAAATTCCCATTTGTGTTCATTTTAGCATATGATTATACTGAAAGAACAGCTGTCAAAACGTACAGAAATGGATAGTGCCATGAAACAGCTGAAATGTGACATAGAGTTTGAAAGAAAGAAGATATCAAAGCTCGAAATCGAGAAGATGGAAACTATTAAGGAGTTAAATAGCCACAAAGAAAAACTAAGCCAGTGTTCATATGCTCTTAATGATTTACAAAGAAGTAAGCAGCAGCTTCAAGATAATATTGAAGATCTACAAGAACAATTAAGGAAAGCCCAGGACTGTATCTTGCATAGTAAAAAAGAAATTACAGATTTGCAGCAGAGATTAAAAGAAAGAGAGGAGGAACTTTCTGTGTCCTTGAGCAAGAAAACAGAAAAGAAGAATCAGGAACCTAATTACAGTTGTCAAGATCCCATCCTTAAAGAGAGAGAAGCCGAAATTACAAAACTGCAGAATGACATTTCAGAATATAAGCAACTAAATGAAACCTTAGAGAAATCTGCGTTTGACCTCAAACTGGAAAACGGAAAGTTGGCATCAGCCTGCGAAGAATTGAAGCAGCAGCTAAGCGAGGCTGTTTCGGAGAAGAATAAAATTTCATTAGAGAAAAACACTGTCACGGAGGCTTTGAAAATGGACAAGAGACAACTGGAAACTGAATTAAGCCAGACGGAGAAACGGCTCTTGGAACAAGCACACAAATATGAGCAGACTATTGAGGAGTTATCCAATGCACGTAGTATGGACACCAGCACGTTGCAGCTTGAGCACGAGCGCATAGTTAAACTCAATCAGGAGAAAGACTTTAAGATTGCAGAACTCCAAAGGAGCATTGAGCAGATGGAAGCTGACCACCAGGAAACCAAAGAGATGCTGACCACCAGTTTAGGAGGCCAGAAGCAGTTGACAGAACTCATGAAAGAAAAAGAGTTATTTATTGAAAAATTTAAAAATCAAGCCTTACAACTACAAAAAGAACTTGAAGAATATATTAAAGATTCGAAAAAGCAGGATATCTTAAAACAGAACTTAGAGGAAAAAGACAAAAGTCTTGCTGTTATGAAGGAAGAAAACAATCACTTGAAAGAAGAAATTGAACGTCTTAAAGATCAGCAAAGTAGGTCTCTACCTGTGGTTGAGCCTAAAACTCTAGATATTATTATTGAACTTGAAAGTGAGGTAACACAGTTGAAAGTGATAAAGAATAGTCTTGAAGAGGAAATAGAAGTTCTCAAAAAAACAATAGAAGATCAGAATCAAAAAACAGTGCAACTTCAGCAGTCTTTGCAGGCGCAAAAAAAAGAAATAGATGAGTCTAAATTTCAGCGGGAACAAATGAATGTCACACATGAAAGACTTTCTTTGGAGAAAGATGAGGAAATAAAAAATTTAAGGAAAACAATTGAACAAATTAAAACTCAGTTGCACAAAGAGAGGCAGGTTATTCAGACTGATTCCTCTGATCTCTTTCAGGAAACCAAAGTTCAGACACTTAATGGAGAAAATGGAAATGAAAAGCATGACTTATCTAAAGTTGAAATTGAAAGACTGGTAAAAGGTATCAAAGAGAGGGAGATGGAGATTAAGCTTTTAAATGAAAAGAATGTTTCTCTAAGTCAACAAATTGATCAGTTGTCCAAAGATGAGGTTGGCAAACTCACCCAAATCATTCAAGAGAAGGACTTAGAAATACAAGCTCTCAACGCTAGAGTTTCCTCAGCTTCCTATAGGCAGGATGTTCTTTGTCTTCAGCAGCAGCTCCAGGCTTATGTCATGGAAAGAGAACAAGTACTAGCAGTTTTAAGTGAAAAGACAAGAGAAAACAGTCAGCTAAAAACAGAGTACCATAAGATCATGGATGTAGTAGCTGCTAAAGAAGCAGCCTTAGCAAAGTTACAAGACGAGAATCAAAAGCTGTCCAATAGATTTGAAAATAGCAGTCAAGACATGTGTAGGGAAACTATTCAGAATTTATCCCGTATCATTCGAGAAAAGGATATTGAAATAGATGCTTTAAGTCAAAAATGCCAAACCTTGCTGACTGTCTTGCAGACATCAGGCACAGGTACTGAAAATGGGTCGGGAGGTGTTAACAGTAACCAGTTTGAGGAACTTTTGCAAGAACGTGATAAATTAAAACAACAAGTAAAGAAAATGGAGGAGTGGAAGCAGCAGGTGATGACCACAGTTCAGAACATGCAGCATGAGTCGGCTCATCTCCAAGAAGAACTACAGAAACTTCAAGCACAGATTTCAGTTGAAAGTGATAGTAATTCGAGGTTGCAGTTAGACTATAATGGCTTGATTCAGAGTTATGAGCAGAATGAGAAAAAGCTGAAAAGTTTTAGCCAGGAATTGGCCCAAGTTCAACACAGTATAGGACAGCTACATAGCACCAAGGATCTGCTCCTGGGAAAGCTTGACTTGGTGACACCGGCAGCCACAGTAGCTTCTGCTGCTGCTTCGCAGCCTTTGGGCATTCAGCACAGTGTTGCTGAAGTGCTCAGTGATGAATCTAAACTCCTTCAGAAGGAACTGGAACAGCTGAAAAAGAAGTTGCAAGAGAAAGATGCCACTATTAGGACCCTTCAGGAAAACAATCAACGATTATCTGATTCGGTGGCTACAGCGTCAGAGCTTGAGAGAAAGGGCCAAGAAGAAAATGATTCTGAAATGAGACAGATCAAGGAAAAACATGATGTTTTACAGAAGTCGCTTAGGGAAAAAGACATACTGATTAAATCTAAAAGTGATCAGTTACTTTCCGTGAGTGAAAATCTTAGTAACAAAGAAAATGAAAATGAGCTTTTGAAACAAGCTGTGACTAATCTTAAAGAAAGAAATCTGATTTTGGAGATGGATATTCGAAAACTGAAAGAAGAAAATGAAAAAATAGTTACAAGGTGCAGGGAAAAAGAAACAGAATTCCGGGCACTTCAGGAGACTAATATGCAGTTCTCGATGATGCTGAAAGAGAAAGAATTTGAATCCCATTCAATGAAAGAAAAGGCTCTTGCTTTGGAAAAGGTGTTAAAAGAAAAAGAACAGGTATGTGTATACTTATTTATGAGTTTCTTAAATAAGTCACAAAATAATACACTTCCATGTAAATACAGACATCAAGTATTTGCCAGAAATAAATTTCTTCTCATCCTTCATTGCATTACAGTAGAATATAAATTCTTCTGCAGAGTTAAGAATCAGCTGGTATATGACAAATTTGTTCAATTTGTTGCTCTAAACTACACTTCTCATTCATTTGGGAAATGTTTATTTACCCAATTGCTTAATACTTTGTTTTGTTTCTGTTTATTAAATATCCAGGATTATTTTTAGTGCATATTCCTCAGATTTTTGGCAGAGGCCAGCAGAAGTCCTGTCCTTATGTGCTTTCCTTTGGTGTCTGTCAGGTGCATGCAATTACTCCACATACCCCTGTGAAGGATGTTGCTTCACAGCATTTGTCCCTGTGAAACCACTAGGTTTATGTATCTTCATTTTATGGACAAACTCCACTGCAAAAACTGAGAGAATAATGGATTCTCAGAATGAATGTCAGGATACTTCATAATGGTTTCTGCACCTTCATTTCTCTTGCTACTATAATAATAATTGCCATCTCTTTGGAGTATTTTTCAAACTACCTTATCAAATAGACCTGCAGGGTAATGTACCTGGGAAAACAAGCAACAAAGTCTTCAATGTGCTATAGGTGGAAGTTTTTTTCATGCAGATTTTACTTAGAAAGCTTTAAGATAGATGGTTAACTCTGTTCAGTTGCCTTTTTTCTCCTATTCATTTGAATGAATTTCCCCTATTCATTCAAGATTAATGTTTTGGGGTTAGGTCATCTTTTTTATTCTTGACACTTATTTATATATTTAGTCCTCTTATGCTGGGGCAAGCTGACTTGCCTAGGCTGATGCTTCACATGTACATGGTATAGAAAGCATGTCACAGAGAATAGATTGCGAAGTTGGAGGAAAATTTGATTTTTTTAAGTATGGAAGTACCTGAAATGCAAGACTTGACAGATATCTTTTCGCTGCAATCAGTTAAGAGAGTTTATCTGCATAGTGTCTTGGTTCACCTGTTAACCTGCAAGTGAAATATATTCAAAAGAGATACTATTTTGAGGTTATTTTTCTGCTTATGGGGCTATGGGCCTTGCCTTTAGTGCATCAGTATCATTTTTAGAGTAAATTCTTCTGCACAGATGCTACCTCTTTGCAAAAAAAAAAAAATAAATGCTTGTTTGTTTCTTCAACAGGGCAAGACAGGGGAGCTGAATCAACTGTTAAATGAAGTTAAATCAATGCAGGAAAAAGCTGTTAGCTTTCAGCAAGAGAGAGACCAAGTAATGGTAGCCCTCAAACAGAAGCAGATGGAGACCAGTGCCCTGCAGAGCGAGGTAGCACACCTAATAATTTACAAAACATAAAAGAAAAATAAGAGAAATTGCATATAATACTTTGTTGTAAGAGTGATTTTTTTTTTTTTTTTTTTGGTAGCGCTAACTTACTGAAAACATTTAGAATCAATATGTGCAATATACTTTCAAGGAGCTCTTTTATTTTTGCTTACATTGCTTTTATGAGAGGTGTTACTATAAGCAGCTTAAGGTGCCTTCTACACAGATGCAGCATTTGCGAGAGAAAGAGCAGCGCCTAAATCAGGAGCTGGACAGGCTGCGCAATCACCTCTTGGAGGTAGAAGACTCCTACACACGTGAAGCTTTAGCTGCAGAAGACAGAGAGGCCAAGCTAAGGAAGAAAGTCTTTGTTTTGGAAGAAAAACTGGTATCCTCATCCACTGCGGTGGAGAATGCCAGGTAGTCATCTCAGCTCTCCTGCAGTGGGATTTTCTCTAAACGTTACATTTAACCTGTAATGCTTTTGTTTCTTGCCTTGGAAACAATTACACATCCTCATTTCGTACCTAATAATGTAGACACTGCAAAGTCTTGTAAACTTTTTATCGAGTAAAATACATTAAGGTTCTCATGAACAGCAGAATGTGGGAAACTAAAGGCTTTTTTTTTCTATTTATATGACGCAAACCTATTTCTCAGCTAGAATAATGAAATATGGAAAATAAAAATTGCTGGATTCATGTTTTTGTTAGTTACTTTAAAGAAATGCTGGTTACTTTCTGCATAGGAATTCTTTTTATTGCAGTTGTCCAAATGAACAAGTGTAGTTGCAGTCTTTATTCAAATGCGTTTTACTCATAACAGCAACAAATAGATTTGAGCAGAAATTGTTGTAGAGAATTTGGGGGAAGAAATCGAGGATTGGAAGAAGATTTTGTAAAAACCTTCTATTCATTAGAATGTTTCTAAATTCTTCATCGAAAGTACTTGTAAGATATCTTTCAACAAATTTCAGAAAACCAGTTTCCCACCTGGTATGCACTGTTGAAACATACTCCTTAGAAAGTAGGATTGTATCTGATTTAAACCCGTGTCGTCTTGTGTGATGCAAAGATAAATAAGTTATTCATTAGTCATGTGGACCTAGATATACTGAAGTCTTGAGGACTGGCTTAAGAAGTAAAAATTGATAAGACTAACCAGATGTGGGTTCTATTTTTGTGAAGTTAGCTTTACAGCAAACAACAGAAATTGTTTTTTTTGTTGTTGTTTTGTGCTTTTTTTAATAAAGCAAAAGTGGTTCTTATTTTCTAATTGCTGACAACCAAACTTACTTAAAAGGTGTTGTTTTTTTAGTATCATAGAATTATTTAAAAAATGCGTACTTCATTTTTGTAAGTTGAGCTAAAATGACCAGTAGGCTAATCTTGCTGCAGAAATGAAGTTTCTCTGTGTTGCTTTCTGTCAACTTCATTAAAAAAATGTATTTTATTTTCATGAAGTCATCAAGCTAGTATACAGGTTGAGTCTTTGCAAGAGCAATTGAACCTGGTCACCAAGCAGAGAGATGAAACTGTGCTTCAGCTGACCATCTCCCAGGACCAAGTGAAGCAGTATGCACTGTCCCTGGCTAACCTGCAGATGGTACTAGAGCAGTTCCAACAGGGTATGTTTTGTCATGGTTTATCCAAGCTAAAGATAGTAGTAAGTGTTTTTCAGATGGGATAGTTAGTGTTTTGGTGCCTTTCAGATATTAGTCACTTTTTATTTATGACGGCTTACGTTTCAGAATCTTTTGTCTTTAAACTCAGCTTTAGTAAAATCCTAACTCCATGAAACTAATGGCTGCATGTGGTAGTTCTGCTGCATGGCTTTAGTACTGTGTATGTCTAAACAGAGAAATAACTATTGTGAACTAACTATTGTGAGTGAAGAGCTTTTTAAATTTTGTATTTTTTTTCCTAATCATTTAGAAGAAAAAGCCATGTATTCAGCAGAGCTAGAAAAACACCAAAAACAGACTTCAGAATGGAAAGAAAAAGCTCAGAAGTTGGAAGAAAAAGTTGTATCACTGCAGGTGGGCTGAGTAATACTCTCTGCAATTGAAGGCTGATTCTTTTTTTTTTGGGGGAGCACAGAGTGAAGGGAGTTGGATTTTTCTTTTTTAAATACCGTGCTGAATGTTGTTATCTTAAGAATATGTGAAGTTATAGTATTGGTCACTTTTCTAGAAGAGCGAGGACTAACAGGTGCCCAGGAAGGCAACTTTGCTCCACTGAACATCCATTTGCTGAGAATTCTTATGCTCTAGTTACTTTATAAGTGATTGAAGTCTCTACATCTGTCCTGTTTGATCTGGGCTACATTGACATAGTTGTGATTAGTCATTTCTCATGTTGTATGTTTCATGCTCTCTTAGGAAAATTTAGAAGAAGCAAATGCTGCACTGGATGCAGCATCAAGGCTTACTGAGCAGCTGGACTCCAAAGAAGAACAAATTGAGGAGCTTAAGAAAGAAGGTAAGTGTCACTTTTCTGTCTTTTGGTAGAACATGCCAAGCAACTGAGGGGACAAGGTAATATCCCTAGGAACTTAACAGATTCCTCTTTTATGAGAGAGTCTTGCTGGAGCTTTGAAGTCACAGCTCAACACTGGCCTCTGATTTTGCCTGCAAAGTTTCCTTGAATCAAAAGTGAAAGATACATCTCCATGGCCAGCTGTGTGGCAGATATGTATGTAATGTGTTATAAATGGATGTCACCAACAGTGCTGAGTACTGAGGGAACGTTAGGCTGCTTTTTTCTGTCTGTCTACATAGTGTCTTCTCCTCCTATTTTTTCCAACTCTTCCTACTTTTGTCTTTTCCTCTTTATTTCTGTGATTCGCCATATTTCCTTATAACTGCAGTATTCTGTTATGCTTTCCCTGAGCACATGGGCAATTGTAAACCTGGAGGAAACTTCTGGCTTGTTAGGGGCAGCTTACTGAGAAGGTTCCAGCTCTGCAGAGAAGGTTCCAAATACAGAGGTTCACTCTTTTTCTACAATTATTCCGACAGCTGTTACGTGATGTTCATTGTCCCACATCTTTGAGAAATTTGGGGGTGAGCACTTTTTATTAGGGCTTACCAGGAGGAGGTGCCTAGAATGTACTTGCTGCTGAATGCAGTTGTAACTTTTGCTGTGAACATATTCACTTAATTTTTGCTTTTCATTAAAAAAAAAAAAGTCTTACTCTTGACGTGTATACATATTCATAAATCTGTCAGTACTCACATATGCATGCATGTTTAAGCAGGCCTTCTTGGGTCCCAATAGTTAATGTGAAGTCATTTGAAACTCCTCAACTGGTTCAGCAAGAGCTCTACAAAATTGTAATGTTGTGACTTTTACTGCATAATTGAATGAGTGTTTACTTTGGTAAAAGTTTGGCATCCTGTGGGCGTCATAGGAGTGTTCCTTGAATTCACAGTCTGAGTTTTGCAAACTAAATTTCAGTTTGCTGTGTGGGTCTGTCATTAGTTACTGGTTTTGTTAGTGGTCTGTGTTTGTGTGTTTCTTTTTATTTTTTTTTAATGTATGTGTATATATAGATGACTTGTAAATATCTCACTGCAGACGTTCACAGCAGAAGTTTAATGTTTAAAGGTTAAATCTTGACTGTAGAACATAAAAGGAGGAGGAATGTGTTGGTGAGTTTGAGAGAACTGGATCTCCATATTTTATCAAACTTTGTTATTTTGGCAAATGATTTGGATTTCAAAGAAAAGCTTTTTGAATCAAGAAAGCAACACTTTAATGTTGTTAATGTTTAATGTTGTTGTAGTATATATCATAATTTTTATTGAAAAAGGAGACAACTCTGTTTTCTCTATTTACACAAGAAAACATATAATAGCTTATTGAAAAGTGGCCAAATACATTCCCAGACACAGTTTTGCTGGCCAAACCTTTTGAAGGATTTCTTTATGGATTTTTTTGGCAGGCAAAGTGATCTTAATAGAAAAGTATAAAATGTACCAGATGCACTTCTCTAAACTGCCATAAATGGTTAACAAATTATTGGAGACTGTTGTAAATATTTGGTTTACAGCAGCCCATGCTGAATTTTGGCTTGGGTCTTTTTTGTTATTCAGTCTTTCTGTGCACACAAGCTAGATGTTCAGCTATTTCCTATTTTATTCTATTTTAGAAGAAAATAATTTAAAAAATATGAAGTTTGTAGTCACTGTGTGTATGAATGTAGCCATCATTTAGATGTCAGCAGAAGTTGATCCTCTTTCATCTAGAGCATTCTCCCAGAAGTAGTAGAAAACGCTTAGCAGAAACATTTTGCTTTAAAAGTGTCAATAGTTCTATTTTAAAATTCATTATGGGAATAAAATTTGAAACGGAAACTAGTTGTTGTCTTGCTGTGTAGAGTAAATAATAGCAACAGCGTGAGATTTACTTGAAGCTTAGTTTCAGATGCTGTTTATCTTTTGTGGTGTTGGGAATTTAACTTTTTCTTCCGTTTTGTCCTGAGGAAGACCCAAATAATAAATCAGCTTGCTGGTATGCTCCAACAGCTGTCATCCTTCCCTAAATAAATATATTACAGTTATTTTCCTTCTAGCTTCAAGGTCCTGTTTAACCACACTTACAAAATACTGTTTTAAAATAACTTCAAATCTTCAAAACATGGATTCGTTCTCCAGTAACTCACTCTGGTGTTTTGAGAGCAAGGAGTGCTCAAGAGCAGTCACGTTATTGGAATGGGTTTCAGTGCATATGGATGTAGTTGTTATGGGATATGCTGTTGTATAGTCTGTGTAACTTTGGTTCTTAACCTCCTTTGAATAAGGAGCTTAATCCTTACACTCCTTGAATAAGGATTTTCCCAGCCTGACCCCATTTCTGTCTGCTCTGTGCTCTCTAAAATTCATGTTTATGAGGTAAAATATTTATAAAGATGTTGCAGAGCCTGCCTAGTTCTTTGGTGTATACCAGTCTTGTGTTCTTTACCATTACAAGGAATGCAGAAGTGCAGCAGTGGCCCTGGGCTGTGTGAGCTCTGGGATAAGGATGCTGTGCTGGAAGCAGGAGGAGCCGAGGCACAGGCTGGTGCCTGTGAGCAGGAGCAGGGGAGGTGCTCGGCAGAAGAGACCCCCAGCAAATTCCTGAAGTTATAGGGCCAGCCTGCAGTTCTCATGAGAAACTGGGGGACTCCTAAGTGCTTAAAAGCTTGAGGAACCTGCCCATAGACTACGGAAAATAGAGCTTAGGAAAGTTGGAGATTTATTATTAAAATATAGCGTTGTTAAATACTCTGTTGAGACTGAAAATGAAATGTGATATTGAAGTAATCTGTGGGCATTGGGAAGGTAAGATGGAAAGGAAGAAGCTTGTGCTAAAGGCTCTTTTCAGATGAAAATATCATCTGATAACTGTTTTGGTCTGTAACTTGGGTGGTGTTGTAAATAATCCAATCGGGTAGGCCAGAAGATGTAATTAGGAAGGTAGTACCCAGAAAAGAAAACATTAAAGACTTACAGAAACTCTGCCATTTCTCAGAATTTTGTGAAGTTCTGAAGACAGCGCTAAGCTCTGGAGTCCAGAAGGGCCCTGTCTCTGCTTCAGGGCACTGATGTCCTTTTGAACTAATGGTCCCTCTTGCACTTCTACAGTCAAGAGGTAAAACGGTACCTGGGATCTGTTGCAGCAGCTCTTTACATGATTTGTTAATGTATTCTTAAAGAAAATTCTGACTGACATTTAGAAAGATGGTCACTAACCATCCAGTTGTAACTTTCTGGAGCTGCCTCCAGGTAGGAGCACTGCAGTTAAAAGGTCTGATGACATGGAGTTTGGTCAGGTTATGAAAAGGGATTGAGCAGTTCATCTGTTCTGCAGCAGATTTATCTTCTGCATGATTACATAGTTTAGCTTGAATATTGTTCTAGAAATTTCAAGTTATGAATTAAAATAAAAATTAAGTTTGTTAAAATCATACATGTTTACAAAATCAAACTTCTGTGTATATATGAAGTATGTATGTGTAAGTATGTATGAATAATGCATTGAAAAGAAGTCCTCCATTTTTGTTTAGTTGTTTTGAAATCCCATTTTATAGGTGAGATCAGAAGAGAAATGCTAGAAGATGTACAAAATAAACTAATGAATCTTATCAACAGCACAGAAGGAAAAGTGGATAAGTAAGTCTTTTGTTACACTGGTGTATGGCTTTTTGGTTTGTTTTCTTATTCCATGTAGAGATAAGTCCATGACATGGAGGGAAAAGCTATTAGTGATAAACTGCTTTAATGTGCCAGAGACATGAACAGTAAGCCCTTGCACACAGAGAGCATCACCTGAATGTTGAGCACATTGGATCTTGCTTGAGTTTTCACATTTCTGTCCCTGTCCAAACTGGAAGTACAACAGGCAAATGGATTTCCTGACCCCTCCTTAAGCCTTTTCTTGGCGACATGCACAAGTATCAGTTAAAATGCTCTCCTGAGTCAAGTTACTAGAATTTTTAGCACTTGCCTCTAGACCTTGCTCATGTACAATTTCAGTTTTGAATTTACTACACATTAGTGCTTTCTGTGTTTAAAAAAAAAAAAAAAAAAAAAAAAAAAAAAAAAAAAAAGGTTTAACTTGGCGGGGAGGGGGGTGGAACCATTGATGAGCTTCCCTTTTGATTCCTTGCATTGGTTAGTTCACTTCGGTTATTGTAAATGAGGAAAATGTACAGGGAACAAACGGATCTGGGTTTAGACATCCTTACCTCTGTATCAGCTGTCATGGAAGAGCAGACTGTATAACGAGCGTGCTTTGTCCTATAGGGTCCTGATGAGAAATCTCTTTGTTGGACACTTTCATACTCCAAAAAAGAAGCGTCCTGAAGTATTAAGGCTAATGGGAAGTATCTTGGGAATAAAAAAAGAAGAACTTGATCAGGTAATATTTTCCTGAAAACCAGGCTTCCTTTTTCATTTGCAATATGCTTAAAAGAAAATGTTATGACAGTAGGTGCTACTAGGTTTTGTGAAGAATGTTTTATATTTTTAAATAGTCAGGACATCAGACTCTTAGTTTTTCAGAGAGGCAGAAAGAAAAGCTTTGCCAACAGGTAAAGGTTGTTAGTTTATCCATAGGATTAGCTTGTCTTTCCACATCCGTTATTGTGAATAAAAAAGACCACGTTGAGCTTATATTATATCTGCTGTTCTGTTTTTGTTTTGGTATTTTTAACTATTTAGTTGCTATGTGAAGACCAAAGAGGAGTTACCAGATGGGTGACTAGCTGGCTTGGAGGAGGAGGTGGATCAAAAAGTGTCCCTACTACACCTTTGAGACCAACTCAGCAGTCCATTTTCAACAGTGTAAGGGTTAATCATGCATTCTTTATGTTTGAGTGGAAAATTAAGCAAATTGCATGTGAATGCTGGATGTCTGTTTCATTATTATGTTGATCAAAATCTAGTGATTTTTACAGTATTTTATTTCGTTTGTTTTCGTACAATTATTTTGGCTTTTTTTTTTTTTTTTAATAGGAAGGCTTTGAAAACTGCACAGATCTAAATGTTGAGCTAATGTCAAAATATGATCATTGTTGTACTGGCTGCATAGACCACTGACCTCTTCCAGTAGGGATTTTTATCTTGCAAATAACAATGCTAGAGGTCAAAAACATGTAGGACTTCGGAAGTTTTCAAGCAGTCAGCAGTACAGAAGACCATAACATCAAACTTTATTGACTGTGTTACTGTGTTCCTTTTTTTTTTTTTGATCACTAAAATAATACAGACCATTAAGTCACTAAAAGATTGTGATCTTATTAACTGCAGCCATACAAAAGCATTAATTTTCTTTTTTTGTGTATAGCATTAGCTCTTCTGAGCAAAATATTATGTTTTGTCGCTGACACCTTATTAGTCCATGTTTCCTTTATTCAACATGCTTTTGTCAAATACAAGGACATATTTAAAGGAAACTGGTGTTTTCTTTAAATGTGGTGGGGATATTTGGTTTGAGCACAGACACAGGAAATGGTGTCACTTGCCACATCAAATTCTTGAAACAATTGGTTTGAAATTAACCTTGAAGCAATCAATAATGAAAACATGGTGGAAGTATGTGTTACCCCTGGAGTTTATCAACTGCACGTAGATGCCATTCACCAAAAAAACCCAAAAACTTCACAATTTGGAAATGATTCATTGTTGCTACACTACTTTAAATACTAGCAGAAAATGCTTTGGAGCCTGTTGATAGCTTTTTAACTTGGTGACGCTCTGAAAAACAGGTACAAATATATTAACTGGTCATCTCTTGCAGTCTTTTTCAGAATTGTTTGTGAAATTCCTTGAGACAGAGTCTTGTCCAAGCCTTCCTCCACCAAAGCTCTCTGTTCAAGATATGAAACCTTTAGGAACCAGTAAAGCTAGTGGTACTCCACCCAGCAGTCAAATACACGGTAATGTTTGAAGAAGAATTTGAAAATTTATATGCAATTTTGAGAAGGATTCAGATAATATACACTTCCTCACCTGAGAACTCTAAATTTGATTGTGTGCTACCACTATTTTCTTCTGTTTTTTTTTCTCTTTTTTTCTTTTCCCTGCTTCCTAAACCCTCAAAACAGAACTTTGGAATGAACATAGTCTCTCAATTTAGAGCGGCTTTTTAACAGTGCCTGGTAGATCAAAACAGATGCTGTGCAGAGCTCTCCATACGGTCTAGCAGTGCCCCCAGACCTGATTTTCAACATACCCTCTTGATCAGCCTGGGTCTGTGAGTGAAAAAGATAAGTAATGACAGCGTTGTAATGCCTCTCTGACATACAGAACCTGCGCACTTGGAGAGGAGTGAAATGAGTGGAGTACATAGCTTGATCTGAAATCTATTTCTAAGCTGTATCTTTGACTTTTTTTTAAAGAAGTTGCTCTTATGTGGAAATGAATGAATTTTGGCTCTACTGCTGATCCTGTAAAGAACTGTGCACTTGAGTAGTGTAAGATCCAATTTCAATTTGATACAGATTGTTACCTTTTTTATGTGCCGTTAAACACACACTTAATGTCCCATTCATTTGCAAAATCTTGTTTCAACTAAGACTCTTTAACATGTGTAAGCTGATACAGACAAATATTTAGATACTTGTATGAAGTATTAATATTAAAAGATGCTTAAAATGGTTGGATGTATAAAGCAAAACTGTCTCATGTAAAATATCAACTTATCTCTGAAAGCAGTGTGTGTGTGTTTTTTGTTTTTAATAAATCAATTTTAGGCAGAGGAAGTAGTGGCAGACAAGATTCAGGATGAGGAAAGGTAGAGCGAATGGAAGTTTGAGTGTCTGCAGTCCAGTTCAAGATTTAATTTCCATATTGCAAAACTAAAATGCAGTTGCAGTTTTTTATCACAGATACTCTGAAATTGGGTAGACTTGTAGGAGTCTAACAGAATAGTATTATTTTGTGTGTGTGTATTTACATATGTATTTTATATATTTCAGATTCTGCTGTCTCCGGAACCAGCAGAAGACCAGATACAAACCCATTTTTAGCACCTCGATCTGCAGCAGTGCCTCTCATAACACCTGCTGGTAGCTCTGGACATCTGCTTATGAAGCCCATTTCTGATGCTCTCCCCACTTTTACACCACTGCCAGTGTCCCCAGATGCCAGTGCTGGTGCTGTACTAAAAGACCTTCTGAAACAGTAGATGATCTTGAAGCCAAGATAATGACATTAGCACTTTAAGAAAAATGAGGACACTATGTTGTATATAATATACCACAAAGAGGCCTTTTTGTAAAAATTTGTGTACTTGTTTGCAATTTTACTTTGTTTTTCTTTTCATTATGAATTAACCAGCGCTTTGGAAATTCTAACGATGGCGTGAGTACCTGCTGGCTGCATAGCAGGTATTGATTACGGTTGTGGGTTAGATTTTAAAGTGGGGTGAAAAAAAATCTTGCTTGTTTGTCGAGCTGCAAGACAAACTGAAGGATTTACAGACCTTAATCTTACAGCACATTGTTTCAGTTATCCATGGGCAACTTCAACTCTTTGATGTTGAGGTCTGTTATTGCATTGAAGTGATTAGCTGTTGAAGTGTGGTAGTTCGGAAAAAAAACCATCAAAATTGATCTTTTTTTGATATGTTAAATTCATGATACAAGTTCTAAAGAGGCTGTGAGCATATGTGAGTATTGAGGAACGGCAGTTTTCCAAAACAGAGTTTCTTAATTAACAGCTACTTATATTAAGACATGCCTCTAACTTACAGGATAGATCACATTTTGTAGCAGTTTGAGGCCTGCTAATCTCTAGAACTTGATTCTCTCCAGCCCACTCCCCTTCCTCCAGCTTAACAGCTGTTTTCAGCAATGCAACCCACCAGCACCAGGGAGTTAACTGCTGGAATGTGTTTCATTTTCTACCAGCGTCCATGTGGTGCAGAATCATCAGTGGAGAACTTGGCAAAAATAGGTTCACCTGTATGCAGATGGTGTAATGTAATGGGTCTAAGTTGTATATTTAAGAGACATTTTATCTTGTAGGATTTTGTAGATTCAGATATGGGCTGAAAGCTTGAACATATGTATAGAACTTAAAAGTAAGGACAACAGTTGCTTTCCCCAGATGTGTAAATAGGTCTTTGCAAGACCAAGGCCTGAGTCAATTATTCTGTAAATTTTGCTGTGATAAATTGTATACTTTGTGTGGCAGATAAAGGATTAAGTTGCATACTAAAGGATAAAATTCATCTTACAAAAATAGTGAATCTGAGATTAAATGTCTTCATTTGAAAATGTATCTAAAACTTTTTATATGCCATTCCTTGTTTAGTCAGTGTTAAAAGATAACTGTTGTGCAAGTTCTATATTAGAACTGTCAACTTTTACTTTTCATTTTATTAAGAACCTAGATTATATGGTTGTAAGAGTTATATTTAAATAAAATTCATCACTGAATCTTGTACAGAATCTACTAAAATAAGAAAAGAAATCTTTACATTTATTTATGTACAGATCATATAATGAAGTTTCTTTTGTTGCCTTGAAATCTAGCCACACTTACTTTAATTGCTCAGTTTACCTTGAATCTACTTTTTCCATATGTTAATATTTCATGGAAACTTTATGCAGATTTGGAATTTCATTGGCCTTATTGAATCTTGATATTTTTTTCTTTCTATATTCCATTATAGAAAAGAATGATTTGGCCTTTTGATTTCTGAAGAACTATCAGGCACATGCGGTAAACCAAAGCAAATGCTACACTAAATTGTAAATGTGGTGAGAACTTAAAATTACTTCTGCTGAAGCTATTTCAGTTAGATATTCCAGATACATGTCTTCATTTGAACTACTGGACCACAATGGTACCCTCTTTCAGTAACAGATATAAAGAAGACTGAAATCAGATGCTGTTTGTGCAGTGTCTTCTTTCCTGAAGTCAGGTCTCTCTAGGATATGCAGCTGCTTCAAAATAAAATTGCATTTTGGTGAGCTGAAGCACAAAAATATTTAGCTCTCTAAATTTGTGGCTTAGCTATTACAAACTACAAATGGATTTGTGCTGATTACCATCCTCTGAATAAGCTAACTAACCAGATCTGTATAAAGGCTTTATGCGTTTTTTTTCTTTAATTACAATAATACTTCATATATACATGTCTCTCTTCCAGGAAGCTTTATAAATGCTAATAAATAAAACATATTGGGACTGTTTGTTTCAGAATGCAGTGTATCTGCTCCATTACACAGTAAGTTATGAGAGTGGGACCACGTTTAGGCATTTGTGTCTGTGTTTGGAGGGAAAATCTTAAAGAGCAAACAAAAGTCGTGAACCTCAGAGTTAACAGTAGAACCCCTTACGGAAGAGGGAGAAAATCCTCTATAGAAGCAGTATGAGGAGCTCTATCCTTACGTCCTAGGATGTTCCCAATGTTCCCTTTGGCCTGCAGAGAAGATACCACGGCTGAGAGGTTCCTGCCCTTATTCCCCAGCTGCATTGGTGGGTTTTGTTCCTTTGTTAGGAATCACATGTGTTCTGTGTTCCAGTCACCGCTTTCCTGCTGGAAAAAAAAAAAAAAAAAGCCACATTTTTACTGCCTTGATTCTCTCTGTTTTTTCCTTTTTTAAAGACTGTTTCACAGACTGTCATAAGTGACTATCAAGACTGTTTTTATTGAAAGATGGATGGATTTTTTCCCTTTTATTTTCCTGTATTTACTTTATATTGGACAATTATTTGTAACTATTTGTTCTGAGAGTTTCCCACCTCTAAGTATGTACGTCATTTAGATTATCCTATTAGTGGTTGGGGCGAATGTTAACTGTGCATTATAAGAAAGTGTAGTTTTAAAATTTTCCATTATCAGATGTTCTTTCACCTTAAACTTGCAAACAAGAAGAGTGCGTGGTCCCTCCTAGCTTTGACCTAATGGGCGGCTGCTTATGGAAAGGTAACAGGATTGTAATAGGGAATATGGGTTCCAAAGTTGAGGTGAAGGAAAAAGGAGTGCTAAGATGTTCTGTTCTTCTACTTGGATTCTCTTACTTTCTGTTCTTTGTTCATCCTCAATTCTGTGCAAACAGAAAAACTACTAGCTGTTCTCTGTAACTTAGCGTTGATTTTTTTAAATTAAAATCTCTTGCATTAAATCAATTAAAATTACAGCTGTAATTTATTACATGCTAAACAACTTGTTTCTACACTGGTCATTACTAAGCCAGGTGATAGCTTTCAATATGCATTTTGTTGCTTCTTATTCATGTTTTTGATAAAAGTTTTTCATTAATATTACTAAGGCAGGTTACCTGGAAAAGGAAATGCAGAGTAGTGACTGTTTAAGCTTCAGAAACAGAATGGAAAATAGTGTAAGTATTTTGCATTATCACAAACTTACTGAGAGTTTTGTGATTATGAGCCTTGATGTCTTGTTAGTCCTATTTTTCATGATTTTATTGCAACTTTATCATCCTATAAATACTTTTTTTGTTTAATCAAACATGTAAATCTGTCCTTTTCTCCCAAATATTTGCAATAAGGGATGAGCCCTGCCTAGAATAAAATTTACTCTTCATGTCATTGACTAGAAAAAACTTTTAAGCATGCTTAATATGGAGAATCTTTAGTTCAACATGGAAATACCAGTGATAACAGCTTCAGAAATTCTTTCAAATAGAAAATCTTTTACTTTTTCTATACCTACAAACCAGAGTAGTCTGTGTCAATACACTTTTTGACTATGATTTTTAAAAGCAAAGGAAGCGTGTATGCATATATATATATATATATAATACACATATGAGGGTGCTAGTGATGAGGCTTGGGAAATTAGAAACATGTATGTTTTATATTTGATCTCTTCCAGTAAGTTTTGGAGTTTGCCTTGAGTATTTTTCTCTCATATGGAAAATTTCTAATATTTCTTAGAGAATAATTTATTAGAATTATTAGCCTCATAATTCTTAAAGTAAGAAAAAGTTTTGTTCTCTTGTTTTGTGCTGTGTTGTGCTATTATATATTGATGAATTTATCTGGAGTCTTGCAAAGCTTAAATATGGCAACCAAAATGATGCATATCACTTGGCAATATGTAATAAAAATAAAGGAATAAATAGCTACCGTTGTACAGGGCATATTTACAGCAGTGTTTATAGCAATGCTCTTGGACTATTGTATGCATTTGTCACATACTTAAATAAGAGTATGCTTTAATTTCATATCTAAGAGCTTCATAGATTTAACTCTGAAATACATTTTGTAACAATTAGTTGTTAATCCACACTATCAGTGTAAGTGTGTAGAAAATATGCCTTTAGTTTGCTAGCTAGTTGTATTAGATGATCTGTTAAAAGACCAATTTAAGCAAATTTATTCCATGTTGGGAGTTGAGCCAAGTTGCTGAGACTTGTCAGATACTGTGCCAAGCAGAAGAAAATTGTATCAAGTGATTAAAGACTTGTTTTCCTTGTAGGAAATAATTATTAGAAGATAACTGACAACTGTTTCATACATAAAAGGGGCATTTATCATCAGTAAATGCCCACATTTAAGTAATTTGAGGTCATTCTTCACCTTATTTTTTTGAGCTTGTGATACTGTTGGTTAAATCTAATTTCTTTAAGTGCTTACAGATGTTATACGTCATCCTTGAGTGCTGATAGTGAATTAATCTTTCTCCACCCCTGTGTTAAGTTTCCCATTAAACAGTTCCTCGCAGATTAGATGTTAAAATTAAAAACATTTGGACACATGTTTCTGGCAGTCCATGCAAACTGCCTGTGAAGAGATTATGCTTCTTAGTCCCTGGTGATCAACTAATAAATATTACTGCAAATATTCGCAGTAACACCAACAATGTTCCACAACCCTTCTAAGGAAGCAGATGGAAAACAGCCTTTCTGCTGTCTGGAGCCATTTCTATTTAAGTTCTTCTGTACTTTTCCTCACTTACTGAGAATCATATACAAAAACCTATTTGAAGAAACGTGATGCAGCTTTGTCGCAGCTCAAAGCTCATGTTCATGTGGAAAGTTGCTCCAAAAAGGAGGTCCTACTGTTTTTAATGTCTAGTTCTGCCAGTTCTCTTTCCTATTGCCACAGCAATATTTTCCTCCAAGATGAATTTACAATATTTACAAATGCTTAGGAGTGTCTTACTCTCGCCACTGGCATGGCTGTTGTGGTCACAAAACTGAATATTTGTGTGGGGTGTGTGTTTGAATAGGTGTCACATACAAGTCCTGAGATGGGCTTCCTGTGCGTGCAAGGATTGCGCAGGATTAACCCAATCTGCTGGAGGGGGAAAAAATATTTAGGTACTTCTTGAACAGAAATGGGAAGACAAAATACTTGCTAGCTTTTGCATTACTATGTTGAAGCTAAAACGTGCATCTGATAGGAAAAAAAATTGTTTCTGAAGCAAATAATGGTGGTCTTTGGTAATCAAGATGAAGAGATGTGTTTCGGGATGTACTAAGGTATTTGTGAGTATTTGAGAAAAGTGTAAATAACCACTGTCATCTTGTGTGTACAAAATATTGTTTTTCTTCTGAAGAAGATGATTAATAGCAAATTGAAAAGGATTTTGTGGGAATATTTGAGGGTGTGGTGTGGGGAGGTTCATTTGTTTCTGTTTCTTTTTTTTCTTTCTCATCAAAACCTCAGCTTCACAGAGTTGTAAACTCTTGTGTTGTGGAAGAGTTAAATCACATGAGACAGACCTCAAAATGGTTCTAAATTTGTACAAATTGTAATTCTGAAATGTTGTTATTCTTAAAATTATAAGGGAAAAGGTGAAAAGGCTTTACTCTTATCTAGGTTTCTAGGTTCTTTAAGCATATCTTCTACCATTTTTAAAACTCACTAAAGTACCAAAAAAAAAGTACTGACAAAATGCATGTAAATATCTTCTATTACTACTGAAAAGTGTGAGACAGACTGTTGTCTTCTGCTTATCCCCAGAGAAGTACATCTGAAAATTATGAAAATTAAACATTTTAATGCTCTTACTGATATGTATTAGGCTTAAGATGGTTTTTGTTGCTAAGAAGGCAGTCTCCGTGATCAGCGCCTATCATGGCTGCTACGCGTGGCAGCAGTAGAAGGGTTTTGCATGTATGCAAATGATGAGAAGTGTAATAAGATAATTTATATGAAGTTCTCTACCCACTGTTTGACAATGGACTGAAAAACAGCATTTCTTCATGGCTCACTCTTTGGTTTTCAAGTGCTTGGAACTGACTTTTTGTCAGTGCAAAAACTCTTAGTCTGATTACTCGAAAAGGCAACAGTATTTGAGCTAAGGCTAACTCTTATTAGAGGCTCTTGACGATGATTGACAGAACGTAGTGACTTAGAAACCTTTTGCCATGCAGACTATTTCAACAAGCGCTGTCAGAGCACTGGCTACTGAGCTGATGAGTAGTGCCTGAGATACGCAACATTATCTTTTTGGTTTGTTATAATAGCAAGTCTGAAACTTACCCTACCAACAACCTAAAACGTGACTCTTTCCTTTTATGTAAAAGAAATATAAACCTTCTGAGAGCTGTCTGGATGCAGTTTGAATGTGATCCAGTAACATTAAGGTAAGGGAAATCCTGGCAGTAGTTCTATGCGGTTAAACCATAAGTTTTTCATTTGCAACCTCAAATGCAGCCCATGTTTCACACCATCAAATTGCAAGACATTAGTATATGGCCAGACTTTGGGCACAGACCAAAAAGATTTTATAGATTTGAGGCAGCTAGGCAGTATTTCTTTTATATTGTTATAAAATGGTAGCTATTTATTATCCATCACTGTAGCACAGCCATTTCATATCTAGTGTTTGTTAGTGGAATATTTAGTAGTCCCAGGAGCCAGGGAAGAGAACTACATAACACAAAATGCTGTGCATTTCTTTGCTTGCGTGATATAATAGATCACACTTTATGAATGCCTTCATAAAGACACTGCCCAGCAAAGTCAGGTGCTTAAACTTGACACAGTGAAAGCAGACCAGTGGTAGCTCATGACTTTCTAGAGCGGGAAGTTCTTCCAAACATAACCCTCTGAGAACGGGAAGCCAAGACTTAAAATACTTCATACTTTCCTAAGTTAGGGAATATGAAGCTAAATAGATGATAAGGTTTTGAGAATTTGACCTTTGGGTACCAGC